TTTGGAGACGGAGTTTCGCTCTTGTTACCCAGGCTGGAGTGCAATGGCGTGATCTCGGCTCACCGCAACCTCCGCCTCCTGGGTTCAGGCAATTCTCCTGCCTCAGCCCCCTGAGTAGCTGGGATTACAGGCACGCGCCACCATGCCCAGCTAATTTTTTGTAGTTTTAATAGAGACGGGGTTTCACCATATTGACCAGGATGGTCTCGATCTCTTGACCTCGTGATCCACCCGCCTCGGCCTCCCAAAGTGCTGGGATTACAGGCTTGAGCCACCGCGCCCGGCGGCTTTTTGGATTTTCAGTACAAATGTGAAGAATTGTGTACTGATCCTCAACACAACCAATAAAGCTCAATTATGAAAAAAATAAATGATGAAAGACTGAATACTTTCCTCCTAAGATCAGGAATAAGACCAAAATGTCCATTCTCTCTTCTATTAAACATTGAACATTATTAAACATCTCTCTTCTATTAAATCCTGGTTCTAGCCAGTGTAATTAGGCAAGAAAAAGAAATAAAAGGCATTCAGGCCAGAAAATGTCAAAAGCTGAATTGCATCCCCTACAAAGATATGTCAAAGTCTTAATTCCCAATAATGTGAACATGACATTATTTAAAAATAGGGTTATTTGTAGATAAAATCAAATTTAAATGAGGTCATATTGGATTGCAGTTGGTCCTAATCCAATATGACTGGTGTCCTTTCCTTATAAGATGAGAGGATACAGACATATGCAAAGAGAAAATGTCATGTGGTGATGGAGGCGGAAGGTGGAATTATGCTGCTGCATGCTAAGAAATGATAAAGGCTGCTGGTTACCACCAGAAGGCAGGAGAAAGGCATGGGATGGTTCTTCCTCAGAGCCTCCAGAAGGAACCAACATTGCTGATTCCTTGATTTTGGATTTCTAGACTCTAAAGCTATGAGAGAATAAATTTGTTTTGTTTTGTTTTTCTCATCTCCAAACGTGCCTGGAGAATTTTCTGTCATTTTAAGCTATCAAGTTTGTGGTGCAAAGAGTATATGACTTAAAATTTTTTCATTTTAGGCCAGGCATAGTGGCTAACACCTGTAATCCCAGCACTTTGGCCAAGATAGGTCGATAACCTGAGGTCAGGAATTCAAGACCAGCCTGACCAACATGATGAAACCCCATCTCTAGTAAAAATAAAAAAAATTAGCTGGGCGTGGTGGCAGACACCTGTAATCCCAGTTACTCTGGAGGCTGAGGCAGGAGAATTGCTTGAAACTGGGAGTCAGAGGTTGCAGTGAGCCTCTGAGATTGCGCCACTGCACTTCAGCCAGGGCGACAGAGTAAGCATTCTGTGTTTAAAAAAAAAAAAAAAAAAAAAAAAGTTATTTTATGATGGGTTTATCAGGTTATAATCTACTCATAAGTTGAGGAGCATCTGTGCTTTGTTACAGCGATCCTAGGAAACTAATACAGAAAGAAGTAAAACCATCTTTATTTGCAGATGACATGATTTTACATATAGAAAATCCTAAGGAATCCACCAAAGAAGTTGCAGAATACAAAGCTAATATACAAAAATCAATTTTATTTCTACATACTTGCAATGAACAATCCAAAAATGCAATTAAGAAAACAATCCCATTCACAATAGCAACAAAAATAACAACATACTTGGCAATAAATTTAACAAAGAAGTGCAAACTTTATACACTAAAAACTACAATACATTGTTGAAAGTAAAAGATCTAAATCAGCCAGGCGTGGTGGCTCACATATGTAATCCCAGCACTTGGGAAGGCCAAAGCGGGCAAATCACTTGAGGCCAGGGGTTTGAAACCAGGCTGGCCACTATAGTGAAACCCATCTCTACTAAAAATACCAAAACAAACAAACAAACAAAAAAAAAAAAACGCTGGGTGTGGTGGCACATGCCTGTAATCCCAGCTACTCAGGAGGCTGAGGTATAAGAATTTCTTGAATCCAGGAGTCACAGATTGCAGCGAGCCAAGATTGCACCACTGCCCTCCAGCCCGGGCAACAGAGCAACACTCTGTTTCAAAAAAAAAAAAAAAAAAAAAAAAAGTAAAGAAGATCTAAACAAATGGGAAGATATCTCATGTGCCTGGATCAACAATCTCAACACTGTTAAGGTGTCATAATCCCCTAAACTGATCTCCAGATGCAATGCAATCCCAGTAAGATTCCCAGCTGACTGCTTTGCAGAAACTGACAAGTTGATTTTAAAATTCATCTGAGGCCAGGGATGGTGGCTCATATCTGTAATTTCAGCACTTAGGGAGGCTGAGGTGGGAGGATCGCTTGAGGCCAGGAGTTTGAAACTGGCCTGGGCAACACTGAGAGGCTGTGTCTGTACCAAAAAAAATGTAATATAATAAAAATAAAATTCATATGAAATTGAAAGGGACCCATAGTAGCCAAAACCATTCTGAAAAATAAAGTAAAACTCATACTTCCCAATTCAAAAACTTACTACCAAGTGATAGTAATCAATATAGCATTACCAGCATAAAAACAGACATGTAGATCAATGCAACACAACTGAGAATTCAGAAATAAACCCACACATCTATGGTCAGCTGATTTTTTATAAGGGTGCCAAGACTATTCAATGGGAAAATAGTCTTTTCAAATAAATGGTTATAGGACAAATGGATAGCCACATGCAAAAAAAAAGAAGTTGGATAATGAGGTTATCAATGTACAAAAATTAACTCAAAAGACCAAAGACCTAAATGTAGAAGCAAAAACCATCTTCTAGAAGAAAAATGGGTAAATCTTCATTGATCTTGGGTTTGACAAAGGACTCAGATCTGACAACAGAAGCATGAGCAACAAAAGAAAAAATAGATAAATTGAACTTCACCAAACTTCAAAACTTTTTGCTTCAAAGGAAATCATCAAGAAAGTGAAGACACCCACAGAAAGGGAGGAAATATTTGCAAATCATATACCTGATAAGGGACTTTTAGGTAGAATATATAAAGACTCCTTACAACTCAATAATAAAAAAACAAATAGCACAATCAAAAAAAAAAAAAAAGACAAAAGATTTGAATAGACATTTTTCAAAGATAATATACAAATGGCCAATAGAAACATAAAATGTGCCTGACATCATTAGTCACCAAGGAAATACAAATCAAAACCACAATGAGACATCACTTCATATTCACTAGGACAGCTACATCCAAAAAGTCAAGCCAGGCACAGTGGCTCATGCCTATAATCCCAACACTTTGGAAGGCTGATGGAAGAGGATCGCTTGAGGACAGGAGTACGAGACTAGCCTGAGAAACATACCAAGACCCACCTCTACAAAAAAAAAAAAAAAAGTTGGGCATGGTGGCACACACCTACAGTCCCAGTTACTTGGGATGCTGAGTGGACAGGATCATTTATGCCCAGGAGGTCAAGGCTTCAGTATGCTACAATTGTGTTACTACACTCTAGTTTGGGGGACAATGCAAGGCTGTCTGAAAAAAACAATCAAAAAATCCAAAGAGTCAAATAGTAAGTGCTGGCAAGAACATGGAAGAACAGGAACCCTGATAAACTGCTGGTGGGAATGTAAAAAGGTATAGCTGCTTTGGAAAACAGTTTGGCAGTTCGTCAAATGATGAAACATAGAGTTACCATATGACCCAGCAATTACATTTCTAGAAATGTAGTCAAGAGAGTCTGGCTGCGGTGGCTCATGCCTGTAATTCCAGCACTTTGGGAGGCCAAGGCAGGAGGATCACAGGTCAGTAGCTCTAGACTAGCCCGGCCAACATGGTGAAACCCCATCTCTACTAAAAATACAATGGGTGTGGTAGCACATGTCTGTAATCCTAGCTACTCAGGAGGCTGAGGCAGGGGAATCATTTGAACCAGGGAAGTGGAGATTGTGGTGAGCCAAGATTGCACCATGGCACTCCGGCCTGGGAGGAACTCCATCTCAAAAAAAAAAAAAAAAAAAAAAGGCCAGGCGCGGTTGCTCAAGCTTGTAATCCCAGCACTTTGGGAGGTCGAGGGGGGTGGATCACGAGGTCAAGAGATCGAGACCATCCTAGTCAACGTGGTGAAACCCCGTCTCTACTAAAAATACAAAAAAAAAATTAGCTGGGCATGGTGGTGCGTGCTTGTAATCCCAGCTACTCAGGAGGCTGAGGCAGGAGAATTGCCTGAACCCAAGAGGCAGAGGCTGCGGTGAGCTGAGATCGCACCATCGCACTCCAGCCTGGGTAACAAGAGCGAAACTCCGTCTCAAAAAAAAAAAAAAAGGAAAGAAATGTACCCAAGAGAAATAAAAACATATATCCACACAAACACTTCTACCTGAATGTTTACAGCAGCATTATATATACCAGACAAAAAATGAAAATAATCCAAATATTCATGAATGAATGAATGAATGAATGGATAAACCAAATTAGCATATCCATATGAAACATTATTTGGCTACAAAAAGTAATGAGGTATCACTATAAGCTACAACATAAATGAACAGTAAAAATGTTACAATAAGTGAAAGAAGTCAGACACCAATGATCAGATTTTATAATTTCATGTCTAAGAAATGTCCAGAACAGGCTAATCTATAAAGGCAAAAGTCAAATTACTGGTTCCCTAGGCCAGGGAGGTTTGAGAAAAAATGAGTAGTGACTGCTAATGAGGTTTCTTTTTGAGGTGATGAAAACATCCTCAAAGTGACTATGATAATGTTTACACAACACTAGAAATGACTGAATTGTGCACTTTAAATGATGGCTAAATCACATGGTATGTGAATTATACGTCAATAAAGCTGTTTTTTTAAAAGTTACAATTTCAAGCCTCTACTTGCAAAGGCAAATAAACACCAATAATGGAAGAGTACCAAATAAAATGCAACAAAATGTATTTTAACTAGTTTACATTTAGTATAAATTTAATGCAATTGAATTTTAATGTAAAAGTCTGAGGATATTAAGAGCTCTGCTCACAAACAAAATCAATGCTTTCACTAGTTTTTTAACTATTCAGACTAACAGCTCCTTATATAAGAGAAATTAGCCAAGAATTGTTTGTAAACCTAAAGCTATGAAAATAAACCTCCAGTCTTTTCCAAGTAAACAACGAATAAAAGGCCAAAACATATTAAAATGGATGCTTACAAATGATGGTGCATTCAAATTATCTTCTTGTTTCATTTCTTCAGTAGTCACATCTGTGTTTGGGAGCTGATGTTCAACAACAGCTATGGATCCTACATCTGGGACATTCACGGTTATTTCAAGCTGTCAAAATAAATTTTATCATTTAATTTTGACATATTATGGAGAGCAAAAGAAAACCTCATCTTCCACATGAATAAGATGAAATGCTAAAATGAAGAAATAATCCATATTCATACATAACTTAAAAAATGAAAAGGAGTAATTACTATATTGACTGACAGCAACATGGCAAAAGTAAAACATTTAAAATTTTTGAGGAGGCTGTGACTATTACAACCAGTAAGCAAACTTTCTAAGACTCATCTTCTTACTGCCTGGCATTTCACTTTCCGTTTTCTTCATTTCGGCCTTACTTTCCTCTAAGTTCTCTGATCAGTCTGTTAACATTTATAGAGCACTTCCTAAAAACCAGAGGGCTAGGGGTACAGGGATATAAAGTCAAAGAAGACAAGTTTGGTCCCTATCCTCAATGAACTCACAGTCCAACAGAAAAGTAGACATGTAATCAACTAACAATACACTGTCATAAATGCTATCTATAATGAGTTAAAGGCCCTTACAAATATTTATCATACCACCGCCCCCACCCCTACTCTGCTATCCCACAATCCCAAAGCCTGCATGATTTTTGATAGCCAGGGCATTAGCCATGTAAAATAAGTTTACTCACATTTATTCTTCATTTTTCAGTCCTATTAGTTAAAGAGCCCTGTAATCTGAGCACTAAAAAGATATTTACCTACTAGAATATATATAATACACTCTGGTTCTTATTATCTTATTTTTTTTGTTTTGTTTTGCTTTTGTAATTTTTAGGCAGGGGTCTCACTCCTGTCTCCCTAGCTGCAGTGGTGCGATGACAGCCACTACACCCAGGCCTACTGTCTTATTAACAGAAAGAAGAGTGTAAAAGGTTGTATGAGTGAGTAGAAACTGTGAGTACAGAGTCAAGTCTGAGAATCTGCCTTTAAGACATATATATATATATATATATATATATATATATATACACACACACACACACACACATTTTTTTTTTTTCTTTTTTCGAGACATGGTCTCAATCTATCACCCAAGCCAAGGTATAGTGGCACCATTATCGTTCATTACAGCCTCGACCTCTCAGGCTCAAGCAATCCTCCTGCCTAGGCACCCCCAAGTAGCTGGGACTACAGGCATGTATCACCACACCTGACTAATTTTTATATTTTTTGTAAAGAACAGGTTTCACCCTGGCTGGTCTTGAACTCCTGCACTCAGCTATCTGCCCACCATGGCTTCCCAAAGTGCTGGGACTATGGGCACGAGCAACTGTGCCCAGCCAACATATTTGCTATAATTACACTTGTATGTGCCACATCTGATTCCTCAGATACAAAATTTAGAGAAAAATCTTTGATAATTTCTAGTAGGGCAGGGATGAACTAAAAAATTCAAGCGAGTGCAGGGAACTGTAGTTCAAGATACTCAGGAGACTGAGGTGGGGAGGGTCACTTGAGCCCAGGAGTTTGAGGCCTGCCTGGTACAGCAAGATCTTGTCTCTTTAAAAAATGAATTTAAAAGCAATAGGCTGGGAGCGGTGGCTTACACCTGTAATTCCAGCACTTTGGGAGGCTGAGGCAGGTAAAGTGCTTGAGCTCAGGAGTTTGAGACTAGCCTGGGCAACATGGTGAAACCCAGTCTCTACCGAAAATAACAATAACAACAACAAAAAAATTAGCCAGGCGTGGTGGTGTGCACCTGTAGTCCCAGCTACTCAGGAGGCTGAGGTGGGAGGATTGCTTGAGCCTGCGAGGTGGAGGTTGCAGCAAGCTGAGATTGTGCCACTGCACTCAAGCCTGGGCAATAGAGTGAAACCCTGTCTCAAAATAAAAAAAAATAAATAAATAAACATAATTTAAAAATTTTAAAAGTTCAGGTGATTTGAGAAGAAAAATACCTTTTGAAGAGGGGACTGGATGGGAAAAAGGAATGTTCTATAAAGTAATTTAAGTTGTTTTTTTAAGCATTATACAGTTTATTTTTAAAAAAGACATAATTCAGATAACATACAATTCACCCACTTAAGGTGTACAATTCAATGTATTTTGAGATATTCTCACAGATACATGCAAATCATCACCACATTCAAATGTGGAAGACTTTCGTCACTTCAAAAATAAACCTTATACCCATTAGCTATCTCTCCCTTAACCCCTTTCTTCCCCATCTCCCAATCCCTAAGCAACCACTAATCTTTCTGTCTCTGTGGATTTCCTTATTTTGGACATTTCACACGAATGGAATCATAAAATATGTGATGTTTTGTAACTAGCTTCTTTCACTTGGCATAAGGTTTTCAAAATTCAACCATGTTGTGACACATATCAATAATTTATATTCCTTTATAGCTGAAAAACATTGCATTGTATTTCAATACTTCCTTCTCCTCCTGTTGTCTAGGCTACAATGCAGTGGCACAATTGTAGCTCACTGTAACCTCAAACTCCTGGCCTCAAGCAATCCTCCCCACTCAGCCTTCTCAGTAGCTGGGATTATAGACATGCAACAACCTATCTGGCTAATTTGATGATTGAATGTAGAGACAGGGTCTTGCTATGTTGAACAGGCTGGTCTTGAACCCCTGGCCTCAACTGATCCTCCTGCCTCAGCCTCCCAAAGCACTGGTATTACAGACATAAGCCACCACCCCTGGCCTTTCAAGGCTTTTTAAAGGAAATTTTTTCTAACATATAAATGAATTTCCCTGTTTAGTAGATTGGCCACAAGGAACAGAATTTAAGGAAAGCCTTGTTCAATTATTATGATTACGCTATTTAAAAAGATAGCCTGTATAGGCCAGGTTCAGTGGCTCATGCCTATAATCCCAGCACTCTGGGAGGCTGAGGTGGGCAGATCACCTGAGGTCAGGAGTTCGAGACCAGGCTGGCCAATCTGGCGAAACCCCTTCTCTACTAAAAATACAAAAAATTAGCCAGGTGTGGTGGTGGGCACCTGTAATCCTAGCTACTCAGAAGGCTGAGGCAGGAGAATCGCTTGAACTGGGAGTCTAAGGTTGCAGTGAGCCAAGATTGTACCATTGTACTCCAGCCTGGGAAACAAGAGTGAAACTCCACCTCAAAAAAAATTTTTTTTTAATTTTAAAAAGAAGAAAGCCTGTATTAATTCAAGGATACAGTCTGGAATTTAATTTTCAGAAATTAATTTCTGATAATAGTTTTCACTGGCAATTTGCCTTCACTCAAAGAAATAAAACTACAAAACATATAGTCTGCACTAGCAATTTGCTTTCACTCAAAGAAATAAAAACACAAAATATATAGCTAAATGAACTCTCATGCACCATTAACCAGAAGTCTTTCCACAAAATTACCCTTCCTTCTGCATTTTCTTGGATTCACATAATGCTTACATTCACTCTCTTTAGTCTGTTCTTTACTTTGAATTGCAAGAAACAATCTCATTTTGCATCATTTAAATTAGTTTCAACCATTTTATTAATTCATTTACTCTAAAATATTTAACAGGTTATTAACACTGAATAAAATAAAAGGTTTTAACTTCCCTTCATAAATATGACTTTACAGATTCAGGCGATCCATTAATTCTTAATGGAATTAAATTAACATTTAAAGTTTACCTTAATTATCTTAAACATTAATTGTTTAATGTTTCTTACTGCTTCTTTTAATGTCACCACTATCTTAGTTAACTCTGATTCGTTTCAAATGACTTAGAGACTATCATGAATGCTTACACAAAACTGACTCAGATATGCTGCTCAGTAAGCCAAAGGAGTAACTGAAAAGTGAGGCAGAACAGAAAACTATGAAGTTACAAAGTTGGAATGGCAGACTGAGAGGCAAAAGTGTAAGGAAGCTAAATATGTTTCTGTACTTCACAACCATTATGATGGTTACTATCAAAACTTAAAACATAACTTCTATTGTTGAGGATGTAGAGAAACTGGAATGCTTGTACACTGTCGAGAGGGATGTAAAATGATACAGCCCAATGAAAAAGAGTATAAAGGTTGCTTTAAAAGTTAAATATAGAATTAACATACAACCCAGGCTGGGGGCAGTGACTCAACACCTGTAATTCCAGCACTTTGGGAGGCCAAGGCAGGTAGATCATTTGAGGTCAGGAGTTTGAGACCAGCCTGGCCAACATGGTAAAATCCCACCTCTATTAAAAATACAAAAAAAAATTAGCTGGGTGTGGTGGCAGACGCTTGTTATCCCAGCTACTTGACCGGCTGAGGCAGAAGAATTGCTTGAACCCGAGAGACAGAGGTCACAGTGAGCCAAGATCACACCATTGTGCTCGACTCCAGACTGGGTGACAGAGACACCATCTCAAAAACAACAACAAAAAATTAACATACGATCCAGCAGTTCCACTTCTGGGCATATCCCCCCAAAAGTAAAAAGCAGAGATTCAAAGAGGCATTTATACAACTGTGTTTATACCAGCATTATTTCTAACAGCCAAAAGGTGGAAGCAACCCAAGTGTCCACTGATGATAAAGGAATAAACAAAACATGATATGCACACACAATGGAATATTATTTAGCCTTTAAAATGAAGAACACTCTGACATATGCCACAACATAAATGAACTGTGAAAACATTATGCTAAATGAAATAAAATGGTCATCAAAAAAAAAAATACTGTATGATTCCACTTATAAGAGGAGTCAAATTCACAGAGAGAAGATGTAGGAAACTGGTTGCCAAAAGGCAAGGGGGTGGAAGGAATGGAGAGTTATTGTTTAATGAGTATAGAATTTCAGTTTTAACAAGATAAAAAGAGTTCGCAAGTGGTGCAAGGCAGACCCGGAAGTGACTAGGGAGTGACCAGGCTAGATGGGACAGGGCTGGGGCTCTCAGGACAGGTATAGGGTGTTTGTAGCTTTTATTTGTTTGGTTTTTTTTTTTTGCCAGGCCATTCATTGTGGGATGTCTTAATCATCCTAAAAAAGAATGCAGTAGCTCATGCCTATGATCCCAGCACTTTGGGAGGCCGAGGTGGAAGGACTGCATGAGCTCAGGAGTTTGGGACCAGACTGGGCAATATAGCAAAACCCCATCTCTAAATTAATTTTGAAAAAGATTAATTAATCCATTCTGTGGATGCATGGTAATGACAGGATGAGAACGTGTACATGTGAATGTTCTTAATGCCACTGAACTGTACACTTAAAAATGAATTAAGATGGCTGGACATGGTGGCTCATGCCTGTAATCCCAGTACTTTGGGAGGCCAAGGTAGGTGGATTGCTTGAGGTCAAGTTCAAGACCAGCCTGGCCAACAAGGTAAACCTGTGTCTCTACCAAAAATACAAAAATTAGCCAGGCATGGTGGCGCACACCTGTAGTCCCAGCTACAAGAGGCTGAGGCAGGAGAATCACTTAAACCTGGGAGGTGGAGGTTGTGGTGAGCTGAGAAACCATTACTGCACTCCACCCTGGGTGATGGAGTGAGAGCCTGTCTCAAAAACAAAACAAAACAGAGAGAGATGGTAAATTTTATGTTACATGTATTTTAGCACAATTTTATTTGATTTTTTTATTTTTTTGAGACAGAGTCTTGCTCCGTTGGCTAGACTGGAGTGCAGTGGCTTCATCTCAGCTCACTGCAACCTCTGCCTCCTGGGTTCAAGCAGTTCTCTTGTCTCTGTCTCTCAAGCAGCTGAACTACAGGTGCCTGCCACCACACCTGGTTAATTTTTCTATTTTCAGTAGAGACACAGTTTTACCTAGTTGGTCAGGCTGGTCTCAAACTCCTGAACTCAGGGGATCCACCTGCCTCAGCCTCCCAAAGTGTTGGGATTACAGGTGTGAGCCACCAAGCCAAAGAAAACAAGTATGTTCCTTCTACCTTCTCTAGCAACCAGAAAACACCTGCCAAAGTGTTTGAAAAATTAATCAGAAAGTAGATTAAGCAGTTTACAGGTACAAGTGTAAGCAGATTTCTCTTGTTGTTATACTGACTCCCTTGTTGAGTCTGGGCCATAGAGGCTGAGTGATCACAAAAAGTTATACAAGGCCCCAAATTATATTTGGTAGAAGTTACTTAGAAAATGAACTGTTCAAATCCTAATTATCACTAAGAGAAGAAACAATCATCCCCGAAAAGAAACAAGAAGTGAAAGCCAAGTAAGATAAAGTACCAAGAATTAAAAAAAAAAAAAAAAAAAAACCGAACCTCTTCCATTGTTTCCTCAATCTGAGCAGAAACAGGTTCAGGAGATCTGAGACCAACAGGTACAAATACTGGAGCTTTGTTTACTTCTTCAGGAGCAAGATGATAGCTTTCTTCTTCATAGTCAGACTCAAAATCATCAGCATCATCTTCTTCTTCCTGGGAAGCCCGAAGAGTCACCAGCATGGCCTTGGGAGCTCTAGGTTCCTTCTTAGAGTTCTTACCCCGCACTCGTTTTGATCCACGACCTCTAGTGACATTTGGTTTGATCTTTTTAGGCATCCTCCTTTCACCATGATTCCTCTCATACTCAGATGCAGAAGAGATAGTGGTTTTCCCATCCGGGGCAATTTTTGAGTAATTTGATTCTTTTAACGGTTGTGGACAGCTAGACGTTTAATCAAAATAACAATAAGGTCATATGCACACAAGGATAATTTTAATGAAAACCAAACTTTTAGAGTGAAATTCCAGTTCCAGTCATTAAAATGAAAATTCCCACCACTCATTCTTTTAAAATCTCATGCCGTGAAAATAAAAAGGAATTAACTACTACTTAGTTTATCATTCAGAGTTAATTCTTAGTTATCTACCTACAAATTTTTCATAGTAAGTTTTTAATTCTGGGTCATTCTTTCCTGTAATATGAAAGTGAAATAAAATAAACACAAAACTGAAAATTATTAGAAGAAAAAGAGCTAAAAGACACAGAACCAGCAGGGCGCAGTGGCTCATGCCTGTAATCCCAGCACTTTGGGAGGCTGAGACAGGCAGATCACTTGAGGTCAGGAGTTTGAGATAAGCCTGGCCAACACGGTGAAACCCCATCTCTACTAAAAACACAAAAATTAGCTGGTTGTGGTGATGCACACCTGTAATCCCAGCTACTCCGGAGGCTGAGGCAGGAGAATCGCTTGTACCCAGGAGGTAAAGGTTGCAGTGAGCTGAGATTGCACCATTGCATTCCACCCTAGGCGGCAAGAATAAGTGAAACTCTTTCACCCAAAAAAAAAAAAAAAAAAAAAAAAAGAAAGAAAAAAGACACGGAACAAATAAATACAGAATATGAGATCAAAAAGTAATATTAGTTTATCCTATTGGGTAAACAGATTAGGTTAAAAGAAAAAGGCAGCAGAAACCCACTAGAGCAGTGCTAATTTCTACAACTTAAGTTTCTTTCCATTTTCTTTAACAACTACAGAAGTAGGGTATTCTTCATTTGTGTTTGTGACTCCATTTGAATGAGCACCCTAATTACTTAGCTAATACATACTCCTCTTTGGTCAAGTTTCTACCCAAGTCTAACAGACTCAACATCCAGAAATTTCATTCTACCAGTAAGTTAAGGTAAAAGTTAAGTGACTTTTATTTCCTACCGTGAAAGTTTTTGTAAATAAAATGTTACCTTGTTAGTTTATTGAGCTGCTCTTCAACAACTGAAGATACTGAATTATCTCCTACAGTTTCCTCTCCAGCCCTTCTTGATGGTCCAACTTCTAATTCAGCATCTATTTTTGCCAAAGCAGACTCTTTAGAACCTACACAATCTTTTCTTGCTGAAACCTCCAGAGATGTCAGCTCAGTTTTTTCCTTAAATTTAAGAAGAAATTAGCTAGTATTACTACAGGAAAAAAATCTCTATGTTAATTTGGCATGGCACTTGGGCCAAAGACTCTAAGCTTACACATATATACAAGCAATCAGTCATTTTTTACAATACTAGAAAGTCAGTCACTTTTCATAAAGGTTACAGTACAAAAGTCAAAATTATATTTTACTCATGCTCTTCATGACCTTGACAAAATAACTTCATTGAGGAAAAAAAAATTTTTTTTGCCCAAACTTACTTTTAGAAGGAACTGGGTGTTGGAATCTCCTTTCTGCAGCAAATGATCGTCTGGCTTGCCTGCCTTGCTCTGATCTGTTGTGTCTTTTTCTAGAACTGGTTCCTTTTTCTTACTTTGTGCTCTTCCCAAATTTGGCTTAGCCTTTTGGAATTTCCTTCTTGTCATTTGTACTGGACTAGGAACACACGGTTTATTTTCATGGCTAGAATGAAGTACAAATCATGTTGAAGAACAAAAATCAGAATTTCTTGTTGATAAAACAGCTGTTATATCAAACAATTTTAGATACAAATAAATTATATGTTCAAAGGACTATAAATAAATTGGCGATAATATCAAGCATGTACAGCAAAATCACACATTGCTGATATGAAAGGAAGAACTTATAAAGCTTTTATAGCTTCCATTTTCTATACAGCTTGAGGAGGTTTTATATTTATATTAATCTTTTTAAACTTTCATTTATTTATTCTATTATGTGATTTCATGCTACTTTAATTTTCAGAGAAATCACAAGATACCAAAAAAATGCCAGTAGCTGAAGATGGATTTTATAATGGCACTTTAAACAAATGCCTTCAACTCGGCTGCCAAAGCATGAACAAATATATGACAGTTATAACCAACTTGGTCCTTCTAGTTCAAGAGTAGGCTTGAAGGCTAGAGTCTATTCTCCCACCACATGCCTGAAATCTCATGAAATAGGGTTTACTGACAGCCAATATAATAATGTTCTCAATATAATCTGTTTATATCTGCCAAATCAGAAAAAGACAATGTTCTAGCATTCAATAAGTAGCCACAGCTCCCAAGGTAACCTCAATAGCTATCTAAAGGTTTCCTAGAAAATATTTTAGCAACTGGCAAGGATCTAAATTAGGAAGTTTAAAAACTAATATAAATCTGGATATTTATAAAGAATGACTGAGTATACAAGTACCTATCATGAGTTCTCTGAATGATCTGCATTAAAAACGAATCTTTTCATTTATTTATTTTTTCTTTCTAAAATGGGGAATCTACCCTTGAGAGATTAAAAACTAATCTTTTTTTTCTTTTAGCAGGGCTAACTCATAGGCAGTATGCCTAGAGTCAGCCAAAACTAATCTTAAGCAATATTTCTAAATAAATTACATAGGAATACTTAGCACATTTCCAAATGTACTAACCCTGCTACATTCTTCTGGCAGTAAACACCACAGAAGTTCACAGGAAGTTCTAACAAGGTTACAATGCTGGCTCATGTAGACTAATGTATTTGGTAAAACAATCATATTTAAGTATAAGCTATTTACAATCAAGTATGATTCTGTAGAGGTATTTAAGAATAAAATATAAATAAGCCCAATGTGCTACTGAAGTCAAAAGGGACAACAAAATGCAGAACCTGGCCGAGTGCAGTGGCTCACACCTGTCATTTTGGAAACAAAAGTAATCCAGGCTGGGCGAAGTGGGTCATGCCTGTAATCCCAGCACTTTGGGAGATGGAGACAGGTAGATTACTTGAGGTCAGGAGTTTGAGACCAGCCTGGCCAACATGGTGAAACACCATCTCTAGTAAAAATACAAAAATTAGCCGGGTGTGGTGGTGGGCACCTGTAATTCCAGCTACTCAGGAGGTGGAAGCATGAGAACTGCTTGAACCTGAGAGGCGGAGGCTGCAGTGAGCCAAGATCATGCCACTGCAGTCCGGCCTGGGCAACAAGAGCGAAACCCTCTATCTGAAAACAAAACAAAACAACCACAAGCTGCCGAACCTAAGAATAAGCTAACTTAAAAACTATACAGAGAGAGGCCAGGAGCACTGGCTCATGCCTATAATCCCAGTGCTTTGGCAAACTGAGGCAGGTGGATTATTTGAGGTCAGGAGTTCAAGACTAGCCTGACCAGATGGTCAGATCCCTGTCTCTACTAAAAACACAAAAATTATCCAGGCATGGTGGCAGGCACCAGCAATCCCAGCTACTCAAGAGGCTGAGGCAGGAGAACTGCTTGACCCAGGAGATGGAGGTTGCAGTGAGCTGAGATCGTGTCACTGCACTCCAGTCTGGGCAAGAGAGATTCTGTCTCAAACAAACAAAAACTGTACAGAGATAGTTACTTTCAATTACTGTACAGCTAACAGCTGAAATATACTTCACGAACTAGAAAAGGTTAAAAAAAAAAAGGGGGGTGGGCAAGGAGCGTGACAGGTTTCCATACAGGATGTTTTAAAGTTAGGGCTATCTCATCAAGAAATACAAAGGCTAAGCATAATAATCTGAAACACAAAAAGTCTGTTTCAAGAAACACTGCCTATGTAACTGTAGAATTTGCTAGTCTGAAAGTTATAAGTCCTGAAAACTTAAATTTAAAACTAAACTGCTTGGCCAGGCACAACAATTTCATGCCTGTAATTCCAGCATTTTGGTGGGCCAAGGCAGGGGAATCACTTGAGCCCAGGAGTTCAAGACCAGCCTGGACGACATGGTGAAACCCTTTCTCTACAAAAACTAAAACAATTAGCCAAGTGTGGTGGTGCACACCTGCAGTCTCAGCTACTTGGGAGGCTGAGGCAGGAGGATCGTTTGAGTCTGGGAGATTGAGGCTACAGTGAGCCATGACTGCACCACTGCACTCCAGACTGGGCAACACAGTGAGATCCTGTGGAAAAAAAAAGACAGATGAAAGAAGAGAAAGAAGAGAGGGGAAGAGGCAGGACAGGGGAGAGGAGGACAGGCAAGGGGAGGGGACAGGAGTGGAATGGAGGGGAGCGGGGAAGGGAAAAAAGGAGGAAGGGAAGGAGGGAGGGAGAGAGGGAGGAAGGGTGGGCACAGTGGCTTATGCCTGTAATCCCAGCACTTTGGGAGGCAGAGGCAGGTGGATCATGAGATCAGGAGTTCAAGACCAGCCCAGCCAACATGGTGAAACCCCATCTCTACTAAAAATACAAAAATTAGCCAGGTGTGGGAGTAGGCGCCTATAATCCCAGCTACTCGAGAGGCTGGGGCAGGAGAATCACTTGAACCTGGGAGGCGGAGTTTGCAGTGAGCCAAGATCACACCACTACACTACAGCCTGGGTAACACAGGAAGACCAGGAAAGAAAAGAAAAGAAACAAGAAAAGAAGCCAGGCACAGTGGCTCATGCTTTTCTTTTTTTTGAGACAGAGTCTTGCTCTGTTGCCTTGGATGGAGTGCAGTGGCGTGATCTCAGCTCACTGCAAACTCTGCCCCACCACGTTCGAGCAATTATCCTGCCTCAGCCTCCTGAGTGGCTGGGACTGCAGGTATACGCCAACACATCACCTAATTTTTGTATTTTTAGTAGAGATGGGGTTTCACCATATTGGCCGGGCTGATCTCAAACTCCTGATTTGTGATCTGCCCTGGCTTGGGAATGAGCCACGGCGCCTGGCCTGGCTCATGCCTTTAATCCCAGAACTTTGGGAGGCCGAGGTGGGTGAATCACCTAAGGTCAGGAATTTGAGACCAGCCTGGCCAACATGTCAAAACCCGTCTCTACTAAAACTACAAAAATTTACTGGATGTGGTGGAGAGCACCTGTAATCCCAGCTACTTAGAAGGCTGAAGCAGGAGAATCACTTGAACCCAGGAGGCAGAGGTGGCAGTGAGCTGAATTCATGACACAGTACTTCAGCCACAGTGACAGAGCAAGGCTCTGTCTCAAAAAAAAAAAAAAAAAAACTAAACTGCCAATATTACTTTATGTAAGTCACTTAAGTACCCTAGATCTATTTAGTCAATTATTAATGAAAGCATTAGGGAAGGCTGACCTCAAGGTCTCTAGTGTTTTAAAGGCTCACTTGGAATCAAAATCAAAATCAAAATCCTTACAATGGCCCTATATAATCTATCCATCTTCACCCACAGCCTTTACATCTCATACATCGACTATTCTTCCTCTTTTGCACTCTGTCCTACATTGGCCTCTTTGCTGTTCTCTAAGCATGCCAGCATATTCTTCTCTTGCCTTAGTGCTTTGAATTGCTCCCCCTTCCCCAGGACATCTCCTAGACTCAACATACTCCTTTACTTCTTTCTTCTTCTTTTTTTAAAGGCACACAGCACCCCACTTGGTTAAGTTTTGTATTTTTTTGTAGAGACAGGGTTTTCCCTTGTTGGCCAGGCTGGTCTTGAACTCCTGGGCTCAAGTGATCTGTCAGTCTCGGCCTCCCTAAAAGCTGGGAATACAGGCATCGGCCACTGCACCCAGCCCTTCACTTCTTTTCAGTGTACCCTTTCAATGAAACAAACTCTGGTCACTGCTGATTAAAAATTGAATCCCCAATCGTAACACTTCCTACTCAAACTCTTTACTTTTCTCTACTTATTACTTATTTATTCAGCTTATTTCTGTTGTTTATAATCTGTTTCCCAATTAGAATATAAACTCCACAGTGATGAATTTTTTTCTTTGTTCACTCCTATATCATTCAGCACTTAGAACAACGCCTGAAACACAGCAGACACTAAAATGTTTGTGAAATAAATGAATACGTAAGGTTATTTTCAGTGGCAAATTTTTATGATTATTTGCCAAAATAATCATAAAGGACCAAAAAGGAATCATATATAAATACATAAATCATCCCATAATTAGTAATTAGGAGAAGTGAATGATGTGAACAAATTCATCTGTAACATTTCCTAGACATTATCAGAGTTAAATTACTCATCAACATAATCCTATATAGAATTTGTAATACAAGTGTAATGCATTTTAGTAAAAATCATTTCATTTAAATATCCAGTTTTAAAAACTGAAAAATGGCTAAGTAAGGGAACCTAAATATTCATGTGAAGTAAAAATTGGCCTTAATCTTGAAAGAAATATATGGAAAGGCTTTTCAATGCACAGAACAAGAAATAATCAACAAAGTGAAGAGACAACCTACAGAATGGGAGAAAGGAATTCCCAACTATCCATCTCACCAAAGTTAATAATCAGAATATATATGGAACAAAAACAACTCAATACCAAAAAGCAAATAATCTGATTAAACAACAGGCAAAGCCAGGAGCAGTGATTCACTCCTGTAATCCCAGCACTTTGGGAGGCTGAGGCAGGCAGATCACCTGAGGTCAGGAGTTTGAGACCAGCCTGACCAACACGGAGAAACCCTATCTCTACTAAAAATATAAAACTAGCTGAGCATGATGGTGCATGCCTGTATTCTCAGCTACTCGGGAGGCTGAGGCAGGAGAATCGCTTGAACCCGGGAGACAGAGGTTACAGTGAGCCAAGATCACGCCATTGCACTCCAGCCTGGGCAACAAGAACGAAACTCCTTCTCAAAAAAAAAAAAAAAAAAAAAAAAAAAGGATATGCAAAAGATCTGAATAGATGCTTCTCAAATGACATACAAATGGCCAAAAGGTATTTGACAAACTGTTCAACATCATTAATCATCAAGGAAATGCAAATCAGAACTGCACTGAGATATCGTCTCACTGCAGTTAAGATGGCTACTATTAAAAAGACCAAAAAAATTACAAATACTGGTCAGGCTGTGGAGAAAGGGGAAAACTCATATGCTGTTCATAGGAATATAAAGCAGAAATGCCATTATGGAAAAAAGTATGGAAATTCCTCAAAAAACTAAAAATAGAACTACCATTTGATTCAGCCATCCTACTGCCAGGTTTATGTCCAAAAGAAAGGAAATCAGTTTATTAAAGAGGTATCTGAATTCTCATGTTTACTGCAGTGCTATTCACAATAGCCAACACATAATACCAACCTAAATGTCCAGCAACAAATGAGTAAAGAAAGTGAGAAAGTGTGGTATATAGCAACATAGATGAAACTAGAGGTCATTATGTTAGGTGAAATAAACCAGGCACAGAAAGACAAATATTGTATGTTCTCACTCATACGTAGCAGCTTAAAAAGTGGATCTCACGGAGGTAGGGATTAGAATGGTGCTCACCAGAGGCTAGAAAGGCAAGAGGGAAGGGAGTAATGAGAAGCTGGGTAGCGGGTACAAAAATATAGTTAGATAGAAGAAATAAGTTCTGGTATTCAATAATATAGTAGGAAAATTATAGTTACCAATCACTTATTATATATTTCAAAATAGCTACAAAATTATGTTGCCAATACAAAGATAAATGTATGAGGTAATGGATATCCCCATTACTCTGATTTCATAATTATATATCGTGTATAGCTCATCAAAATAGTACATGTAGTCCAAAAATATGTATGTATAACTATTATATATCCAAAAAAATTTTAAGGCTTTTTAAGATAAAAAGCTCGGTGAGGGGGTGTGGTAGAGGCTGTGATATTGAAAAGTAATCCAGGCTGGGCGAGGTGGGTCACGCCTGTAATCCCAGCACTTTGGGAGGCTGAGGTGGGTGGATCACCTGAGGTTGGGAGATTGAGACCAGCCTGGCCAACATGACAAAACTCTATCTCTACTAAAAACACAAAAATTAGCAGGGTGTGGTGGCAGATGCCTGTAATCCCATCTACTCAGCAGGGAGAATTATTGAAGCTGGGAGGCAGAGGTTGCAGGGAGCCGAGATCATGTCACTGCACCCCCAGCCTGGGTGACAGGGTGAGACTCTGTCCCCTCCCCACCTAAAAAAAGGCCAGGCATGGTGGCTCACACCTGTAATCTCAGCACTTTGGGAGGCCGAGGAGGTGGATGACTTGAGGTCAGAAGCTCCAGACCAGCCTGGCCAACATGGTGAAACCCTGTCTTTACTAAACATACAAAAAATAGCCAGGTGAAGTAGTGCATGCCTGTAGTCCTAGCTATTCCATAGGCTGAGGCACGAGAATTGTTTGAATTGGGGAGGCAGAGGTTACAGTGAGCCACAATGGAGACACCGAACTCCAGTCTGGGCAACAGAGACTCTGTCTCAAAAAAAAAAAAAAAAAAAAAAAAAAAGTAATCCATACTAAAATAAAAGCTTCACATCAGAAGCTTGTCTATATGAAAGCCGACTGTTTCAATCATCTAAAATTAACAGAGGTTGGGCACAGTGGGTCACCGTGTAATCCCAAGATTTTGGGAGGCCGAGAGGGGTGGATCATTTAAGCTCAGGAGTTCAGAACCAGCCTGGGCAATAGGGTGAAACCCCATCTCTACAAAAAAATACGAAAATATTAGCCAGGTGTGGTGGTGTGAGCCTGTGGTCCCAGCTACTTGAGAGGTTGAAGGGGATGGATCACTTGAGCCCAGGAAGTTGAGGCTGCAGTGAGCCTTGACTGCATCACTGCACTACAGTCTGGGCAACACAGTGAGACACCTTGTCTCAAAAGGTAAACATAATAAGGCCAGGCACAGTGGTTCCAGCCTGTAATCTCAGCACTTTGGGAGGCCGAGGCGGATGGATCATGAGGTCACGAGTTCAAGACCAGCCTGGCCAACATAGTGAAACCCTGTCTCTATTAAAAACAAAAAAAAAGCAAACATAATTAAAAAAAATACAAATCAATAGCACCACATTTTGAAAGATGATCTAACATGCCCAAATTCTATCTTCACCTAATTAGAGAGGGTGAAAAAGGATACAATCACATTTCCTCTGCATTTCTCAGAAAGCCAGTCACTCTACCTGATTAAAAAAAGCTGATATATTTAAAGTATATTCATAAGTGCTAAAGCATCCAGGATGAAAATTAATAAATACTTCACTAAAACATGTTCTAGTTACAAAGACAGTAAATTAGATGGACCATGAAATATATACAGAAAAAAAAGGTTTTTACTAAAGAAAAGAACACATCTTGGTTTAATATCAATAATAATAAGGCAGATAGCAAATAATAAATAAAAGTAGTAATGTCAAAACTTCCTCACCCTACTAGCTCATCTCATTTAAAAGATACCATTCTTACCATTTGGCTTTGATTTAGGTACCTCTAAATATAGCATACAGTAAGTACTTCATATAACTCCCTATTGAGGAATTTTAGTCAGTAGATTACAAACTTTTCTTTTTTTAATTTTTTATTTTTATAGAGACGAAGTCTCACTATGTTGTCCAGGCTGGTCTTTAACTCCTGGACTCAAGTGATTCTCTTGTCTTGGCTTCCCAAAGTGCTGGGATTACCGGCATGACCGCACCTGGCCTAAATTTCTAAAAAAGATAAAAAGAACTTAAGAATCTTTGCCTAATATTAAAAGTTTAGTTTTGGTACCAAAAATGAGGGTGCTGGTCAAACTTTTCAGAGAAATTACATATACTTAAGAGAATACCATATACTTAAGAGCATCATATACCATGCTTTTGTATCAACTTAAAAGACAAAAAAGAAGGAAAAAAAGAATATCATATACTTAAGAGAATACACGTAAGAGAATATCAGCCACGCAATTCATACAGTATTCAAGAAGCAGATTTAAAAGACTCTAATATCAAAAGTATCTATTACTTTATCCTTTTAACATTTTCAGGATGTGAAGTTACTAATGTATAAAATCAACTATGCAAAAATATAGCCTTAATCTTTGAAAAATCTTGTGTTTCATTTAAAGCAAACTCACCTGACTGTTTTATTTGTTTTGTTAACAGGAAGGTTTTCTACAAGAACCACCTGACTTTGATTTTCATACATTCTGTATTCTGAAACTCTGGAGGATGGAATTTCAATTTCTGTTTCAATTTGAGAATTTGACTGAAAAGACAAAATCATATTCATATTTTTATAGCAGAATATACCTCTTAAAATATTTCCATCATTAAGAAAGATACTTAGTTTTGAAGAATTCCTTTTCTTTTTTAAATGTTTATATGTTTATTTATTTGAAATAGTCTCATTATGCTGCCCAGGCAGGTCTCAAACTCCTAGGCTCAAGTGATCCTCCTTCCTCAGCCTCCTGAGTAACTGAGATTACAGGCACATACCACCATGTGTGGTTAACTCTTTAAAATTAGATTCAAACTGGATATATAATGTTCATATTCTGTAGCCAAAACAAGGATGCCTAGTTCAGAGAAAAGTTTCAAAGATTATTGCAATAATATGTTTACATAATACTTTGAAAACTGTAATAGTCACCTGCTATGAAATTAAAAATAAAAGTTTAATGGTTTTTTTTTTTTTTTTAAGAAAGAGCTTTTTGGTTCAAATAAAGATTATTTTAAATCTAGACTTTGCATTAGTAGAGAAATGAACAGAAAAGAACTACCTAAAGTGAGTACTTTTAGGCATTATACTACTTAGGCCTTTTTCCTACTACCAAAAGACCCGTCAATAAGAGATTAAACTGTCATTCAAAACAGCATAATGTTATCCAGCAAAAACAATGCAACTCCATACTTCTTGATCCAGAAAGCCACTTAACATAGTATTAAGTGAATAACAGAAAGTTATAATATATAATGATTTTATTGTTTAAATTTGCATAAGTGTGCATATATGTGTGCATGGAAATAGATCCCATAAGATATATCAAAAGATTTTCAGTGGTTATCTCAGAGTTGGATTTGCATTATTTATTATATTATTTTGTCTTAATGGAACACTTCACAATGAATAGCTTCATTAGTTAGAAAAGAAATATATCTATTTTCTTAAACAAAAAAATCCAGAAGAGCAAATCTGAAACAAAACCAGATACTGTATTCATTGAGTAGAATAAGTGTCAGATGCCTGTATTTCTAAGCCATATCTGAGCTATAACTTGATATTCTAAATGCATTAAAAGGCTCAATTTAATTACATAACTCACCACAATTAAGACTTTCTTTTCACTTTCATCCCTTTGTAATACTGTTCTTTCTTCCTTAATTATGCCTTTGGCATCACTTTTTTCTACAATTTGCTTTTGTCCTGCCTTTCTTACATTTGGTCTCGGTCTCTGAAGTCGGCCCCTTACTGGTCGAGCAGTTGGAATGACACTTTCCTTCATTTCTTGTTGGCAAGTGTTTATATTATTAGTCCTAAACAAGGGGACAGGGAGAAAGACAGGACACTTGACTGTAAAAAGTTGAAAACTAATGTAGAAATGTAAAATTTGGATCTCCTCTAATAAAGGCTCTAAAAAATACTTTGTACCATTAAAGGGAAATTGCTTTCTGATTATAAACATCTTACTTTACAAAAGAAAGCAGTGGTTTCAATTCTCAAAAGGTAATAAACTTATATGATAAACCTAGAGTAGCTAAATAGTGGTTGCCAGGAGCTGGAAGAAGAGGAGAATGAGTTAATATTTAATGGGTACAGAGTTTCATTTTACAAAGATAAAAAACAAAGTCTAAAAATGAATGGTGGTGCCAACTGGACATCTATGTGAATATACAACGCCACTGTACATTAAGAAATGGTTAAAATAAAAAATAGTTAAAATGGTAAATTTTATGTTATAAGTATTTTACCAATTTTCAAAAGGTAATGGATATATATAGCTTATATACATACAGGCTGAGTAGCCCTCATCCAAAATGCTTAGGACCAGAAATGTTTCAGATTTCAGATTTTTTTAGATTTGGAAACATATGCATTATACTTATCAGCTGAGCATCCCTACTTTGGAAATCGAAAATGCTCCAATGAGCATTTCTTTTGAGCACCACATCAACTCTCAAAAAGTTTTAAATTGTGGAGCATTTCAGAATTTTTGATTAGGCATGCTCAACCTGTAGTTTTTAAATGCATTGCTTCGTATAGACTCTTAAGCAGCTAACAATGCACACAGCAGGCAACCATTAGAAGGCACTGAATTAAATCTGATATTAAACTTTAGGCAGTCTGCTAAATCAATAAAATTAAACCAATATTCTTTATGTTCACTTTCTAAATGCATTAACATATCTCAATAAAAATGAGAAATATTTAAAAGAAGTGTCTCTCTTATTTCATATTTTCAAAGAAAGTAACTGTTTACCCCACAGAAACAACTAAGTCATTTTCCTGGGCTTGTACTGACTGAGAGTCCTCTTTAGGTTCACGAGAGTTTGAAGGTGAAAGGTTATTTTCAGTCTGTATACATGGCAGTATCACAGCTTCCTCATTCCTGTGACCCGATGTGTCTTTTTCTCTTGATATCATTAGGGAAGCTTCATCCTAAAAGGCAGAAAAAAAATTTCATTCAGGGTTGCTAAAAGTACAAAGAAATAGGAACTTTCTTATTCTATTTATACAAGTATAAACTGATATCATCTTTGTAGAAAACAATGGGGTAGTCTATACCAAAATTCTAAATTCCCAGCAATTCCACTTCTGGAAATGTATCTTATAAATATTTAACAAGTAGAAACATACATACAAAAATATTTATTGTAATAATTTAAACGCCACCTCCCCCACTGTAAAAGACAAAAAAAAAAAAAATCAGAAATAAGACAGTTCTGTCATTAAGGGACTGAATAAATAAATTTTAATTTATTTATAATGCAATACACCTAATCATTTAAAAGAAGATAAGTTTCTTTGTGCTGATCTAAAAAGAAGCTCACAATATTTTAACTGGAAAAATCAGAAGGCAAGAATTAGTGTCATTTTGGAAAAGAATAAAAATATCTGCCCATTTTATTATTTTATAAATATACCAAAAAGTCTAAGTGGATATATTCCAAATTGCTGTATGATGAACTTGGGGGAAAGGGATGTGATATAAAAGACTCATTTTTTAGAATACATAATTTTCCAAATTGAAATTTCTATAATCAGAAAATGTAATACAAATGTAACTTATCTTTTATGACTATAAGCTTAGGAGAAAAAGTATAAATGTTGATACACAGTAAAGTACTGAGCTATTTTAAAATGTCAAGAATTTTAATTCTAAAAAGGACTTTATATGTGGAAAACATTCAGTTTTTAATTATTCATTTAAATGTTTTTGGTGGTATTTTACACAATCTTAATCTGTTATGGAGAAAATTAATAAAGTAAATAAAATATTACCTTTAACTCAAATCAAACTTACATTTCACCTTCACAACAGAGTGAAATAAAAAACTATTACTGTCACCAGGCACAGTGGCTCACGACTGCAATCCCAGCACCATGGGAGGCTAAGGCGGGCAGATCATGAGGTCAGGAGTTCAAGACCAGCCTTGCCAACATGGTGAAACCCTGTCTCTACTAAAAATACAAAAATAAAATATTAGTGGGGCATGGTGGCACATGCCTGTAGTCCCAGCTACTCGAGAAGCTGAGGCAGGTGAATCGCTTGAATCCAGGAGGTGGAGGTTGCAGTGTGCCGAGATCACACCACTACACTCCAGCTTGGGCGACAGTGAGACTTTGTCTCAAAAAATAAAAATAAAAATAAAAATAAATAAAAAACTATATATATACACACACACACACACACACACACACACACACACACACACACACACATATATATATTTTTATTATTGTACTTTAGGTTCTGGGGTACATGTGCAGATCATGCAGGATTGCTGCATAGGTATATACATGACAATGTGGTTTGCTGCCTCCATCTCCCAATAAAAAACTATTATTTTCATTTTTCCTATGAAGAAAATTGTTTCATCAATGGTCACAAAGCCAGAACTGGAACCAGAGCCCAGACCTCCTAAACGCTTTCCCACAACAGGCTTGCCCATTATCAGATATCTGAGATTCTTACACAAATTACATGTAATAATGAGGCACATTAAGCATGGGAATAATATAACATGCAGCAAAAATTACACAGAATTATTTGTAAAATTGTAATGCCAGGTGCTTTTAGTAGCCCTTAACTTAAAAAAAAAATACCCACACAGAACTTCCATCTTAAATATCACTCACATATTGAGAAGGGACAGTATCAAGTTGTTCATTATTCTCTTGCATCACAATAGTCTCCATTTTCTTGGTTTCTGATTTCTTCCCAGATACATATTTTTCTGATTCTGTAGTCTCTCTCTTCAAAGCTGCCCTTGCTAAGTTTGGTTTTGGTCTTTTGAATCGACTTCTCACAAAAGGTGCTGGTTTAATCTCAAGTGGCTTCTGTTCTTGAGGAAGAGATTTGCTTTTGGAACAAAGATTATCAAGCTTTAGAATGAACTGAAGGGGCAGTGGCAATGGAGTCTCAGGGCAACCTTAGAGATTGGCAGTAAACATTTAATTCTTTTTTGTTGGTGACAGGGTCTTGTTCTGTAACCCAGGCTAGAGTGCAATGACACAATCATAGTTCACTGCAGCCTTGACCTCCACGGGCTCAGGTGATCCTCCCATCTCAGCCTCCCAAGTAGCTGGGATGCCACCACACCCAGCTAGTTTTTGTATTTTTGTAGCGATGGTTTTCTACAGCCTGTTGCCCAGGATAATCTCAAACTCCTGGGCTCAAAGGATCCACCCACCTTAGCCTCCCAAATTGCTAGGATTACAGGTGTGAGCTGCCATACTTGGCCTAATTCTATTTCTTAACGGGAAAACAAATCAAACTATCTGGTAGATCCTGAAAAACATGAGTGGTACAATCCAGGTATGAGCCTAGGAATTATATCATCATGAGCCTAGGAATTATATCATCTCTGCACAAAGAAAATATGAGTCTGTCAAATCTGTATTGATTTAAGACTGTTACATACAACTTTGTATGTCGGTAACTTTCACAACTGTCAGAGTGACCTCGATCCTCTCTCAGTCTTCCCAAAAGTTTCTTAAATCTCTAACACTATCCCGCATATGTTACACCTTGAAATCTCACTTAAACATAATCTGCAAATATAACTTAATATCTGTGTCTTCAAAAACACACTTGTACCTTAAATTAATATCTGAAAACTGCTCTGGAACATCTGGAGATTGAAGCCCCTGGACTTCTGTTTTATCAGATTCATGAGTCTGTGAAGAAACCTTGAAATGACTTAAGTGACTTGATTCTTCTTTTTCAGGATTTCCTTTTTCTTCTACAGGTGCATGCATTATCGACAGTACTTCGCTGCTGATGTTCTAGAAAAACAGTCAAATAAATCAGCACAAATAAAATATTCTTTAAACATCTCATATATTTAAAACAACAGTCTAATATATTCTAAACAGTTTCCTTTAAACATTTAGAAGTTTTTAATTTTTAAATAAAATTTAACTTCCAAATGTTAAAATCTGAAATTTAGGAAACTCTTCAAGGCACTGAAACATAGGAACTTAGGGCTACAAAAGGCTAGACTTTTAGAGATTTTTAAGTGTTGTTGGACTTAAGGACAAAATATTGGAACTATTTTGGTAACTTTTCTCTGAAAAAAGCACTCAAAAAAATTTTAAAGGACAGAAAAATACATACTTTAATATCTAGTGAAGGCATAGCGCTGCAGTCACTGCTACCACTCTGCATTAAATGTGTCTCAGTTTGTCTTGAGGTACCGGTCTCCTCTAGTTCATTTTCCCTTGGAGAAATGTCTGTTTTCCCAGTTTTTTTCAATTCTGCCACCGTTTCCTCATTAACACAGATCTCTTCAGATCCACTTTCTCTAAAATTTTCTCTTCCAGTTTCTTTCAAATCTGCCTCCATTTCTTCAATGGCAGCCATCTCTCTTGATACTTTCTCCATCATGGAAATGCCTTTCTTTCCGGTTTCTTTCAAATCAATCTCCCTTTCCCTTACACCACTGATCTCCACTAGCCCTTTTTCCCTTTGGGAAATTTCTTCTCTAACTTCTTTCAAATCTGTCTCCATTTTACCTATAGGCTTGACTTCCTCTGGGCCTTTTTCCTGTGGAGATATTTCTCTTTTAGTTTCTTCCAAATCTATGTCTGTTTCCTTAGTGGCATCAACCACATCTGGTGTCTTCTCCCTTGAGGAACTCTCTCTTCCAGTTGCTTTCAAATCTGTCTCCATTTCACCTACATGCTTGACTTCCTCTGTGCCATTTTCCTGTGGGGATATTTCTCTTCTTCCAGTTTCTTCCAAATCTTTGTCTATTTCCTTAGTGGCACCAATCATCTCTGGTGTCTTCTCCCTTGGGGAAATCTCCCTTCCAGTTGCTTTCAATTCTGTCTCCATTTCACCTACATGCTTGACCTCCTCTAGGCCTTTTTCCTGTGGGGATATTTCTCTTCTTCCAGTTTCTTCCAAATCTTTGTCTATTTCCTTAGTGGCATCAGTCACCTCTGGTGTCTTCTCCCTTGAGGAAATCTCCCTTCCAGCTGCTTTCAAATCTGTCTTCATTTCACCTACAGGATTGACCTCCTTTAGGCCTTTTTCCTGTGAGGATATTTCTCTTTCAGTTTCTTCCAAATCTATGTCTGTTTCCTTAGTGGCATCAGTCACCTCTGGTGTCTTCTCCCTTGAGAAACTCTCTCTTCCAGTTGCTTTCAAATCTGTCTCCATTTCACCTACAGGCTTGAGTTCCTCTGGGCCATTTTCCTCTGGGGACATTTCTCTTCCTCCAGTTTCTTCCAAATATTTGTCTATTTCCTTAGTGGTATCAATCACCTCTGGTGTCTTGTCCTTTGAGGAAATCTCCCTTCCAGCTGCTTTCAAACCTGTCTCCATTTCCATGGTGACATCAATCACATCTACAATCTTCTCCCTGCGAGAAATGGCTCTTCTTCCCAATTCTTTTAAATCTGACTGCATTTCTTTAGTAGTACTAATATCTGCTGGTACCATCTCCCTTGGTGAGGTATCTGGTGTTATAGTTTCTCTCAATGCTGCTGTCATTTCCCCAGAGACAGCAATCTTCTCTAGTACCTCTTCCTTTGAGGAAATCTCTCTTCTTCCAGTTCTTCTTCCTATGTTTGGCTTTGGTTTCTGAAATCGAGTCCTTAGAATTGAGACTTGGTCACGTTTATTTGCTTTATTATTCTCTTGAATGCTATTAAAAAAAAAAAAAGGGCACACAATCAAGTTTTAAACCAGACTGCCTGCTGAAAGAGATGATGTTTGAGAAATCATTACAGAAACTCTCAAATTCGAAAAAAGTAAGGAAGCCCTAGGAATCTCAGGGTAAAATTTGAAAATTAAAAGAAAAACATCCCACCCTTTCAAAATCATAGCAAAAATGTTAAACATATATATATCTAGTAAGGTCAATTAGTATAGAAGCTATTTAATCCTAATAGTCTCTTTCCAATTGTCATTCACACCACTGTTTGTAAATACTGGCTGGGAAAGACTCTCCAGTTCTTTGCATTAGAGCTAGATCAATGTATGTCTGCTATTTCTACCTCTTCATCCCTTCTAACTTTTACCCAGACAAACGCTTTGCCATAATAGACCCGACCACCTCAAATACCTAGATACAAGTATGACTTGACTAAATCTTATGACTACAATGAGGTCTGCTCTCCCCATCTTTTAAAACCAATTTTAAATGAGATTTCCTGTACAGATATTTATCCAAGAGCTTGTTATCTGATAATACAAGTCAAAAATAAAAGGACAGATTATACAATATTTTGCTGAATACTTTGGACACACAATCACTATCGAAAACAAGCACCTTGCTCTCCAGAAAGGCAGCAGCACTTTTTGCTTTGTGTCCTGTTTATTATAATAGATAGGAAAATCAATAAACATATAAATGAGTGAAAGAGCTTTTAAATGACTCACCAGAAAAGTTAATATTGGGCAAAAGCTAGATCAAATGAAACACTAGATTTATTCAGCCATGTCAGACTGAACAGGTATATAACTATACATTCAACAGCTTAAAAAAAGATGTATTGGGCTGGGTACAATGCCTCATGCCTGTAATCCTAGCACTTTGGGAGGCTGAGGCAGCCCATCTCTACCGAAAAAAAAAAGACCCAAAATCAGCCAGGTGTGGTGGCATACACCTGTAGTCCCAGCTATTCAGGAGGCTGAGGGGGGAGGATCACCTGAGCCCAGGAAGGATGAAGCTGCAGTAAGCCACGATCATGCCACAGCACTCCAGACTGGGCGACAGAGCAAGATCCCATCTCAAAACAAATAAGCAAAAGATTTATTTAAAAGTATGCTAGGCCAGACGTGGTAACTCAGCCTGTAATCCCAGCATTTTGGGAGGCTGAGGCAGGGGGATCATTTGAGGTAAGGAGTTTAAGACCAGCCTGGCCAACAAGGTAAAAACTCTGTCCCTACTGAAAATACAAAAATAAGCCAGGGGTGGTGGGGTAAGTCTGTAATCTCAGCTACTCAGAAGGCTAAGGCAGGAAAACAGCTGGAACCCAGGGGGCAGAGATTGCAGTGAGCCAAGATCATGCCACTGCACTCCAGCCTGGGCAACAGAGCAAGACTCTGTCTTTAAAAAAAAAAAAAAAAAAAAGTATGCTATTGCTTGTTTCAACTTCTCTAGGTCCTAAACCATCCTTCCTCACTGAAATAACTGTTTTCAATAATGCAATTTTTGATAGTATAAGGCAGGTCCTTAGGAATAAGATTGCTTGTCAAACTGTACTTGTTTACATAACTTAAGTGTTTATATCCATCAACTTTAGTAATTGACAACATTGAATGTAAAATTAATAGCAATCCATAGAGGAAATTTAATTTGATCAGTCCTGAATGGACTGCATTCCATTATTTGATTTATGATACTTTTCATCTCCATCCAGAAACATCTATAGTGAGATTACTGTGCTAGCAATCTTTGGTTTGGGTATCATGGGAAGAAAGATAAACTCTTTATAAAGTCACATTTTGAAAACAGGCATATTCTTTAAACATGTAAATGCTTGAAGCAAAGGCTTTATTAATAATTTCATTATTTTGATATTGGTTCAGATTATAAAATACAGATATACAATGTTATAATTATATTCTATGTGCTTAGGTTTTTTAAACTGCCATTACAGCATAGCATTAGATTGTTTCTCAGTAACAAAAGGGGTGTATAATTAACTGAAGGGCAGTATATGAGACTGGATATCAGATACAAAATTAAACTACATTATTTCTCAATTTAAAATATACATGGATCCACAAACTCCTCAGATCACAAATCTGAGAATAAAAGCAAAGCAAGAGGATTAAGAATGGAGAAAATTGGATGTGAGGGTGATCTGGCTGTGACATCTGTCACCCCATGATCTCCAGGGTTGATTTGGCTGATCTGGCTGGCTAGGCGGATGTCCCCTTCCTCCCTCACCGCTCCATGTGCGTCCCTCCCGAAGCTGCGTGCTCGGTCGAAGAGGACGACCATCCCAAATAAAGGAGGACAGGTCTTCAGTCAAGGGTATACCAGTAGCTGCGCTACCCTGCTAGAACCTCCAAACAAGCTCTCAAGAATGGAGAAAATAAGATATGGAGTGGGCAGAAAACTATAAATCTGCTTCAAGTCCTGTATATGTGTTTTTCTAAAACAAAGAGTTTAAGAATCTATAAAATATTCATGGCCAGATATGGTGGCTCACATCTGTAATCCTATCACTTTTGGAGGCTAAGGAAAAAGGATCCCTTCCGCCCAGGAGTTCAAGACGAGCCTGGGCAACATGGCAAACTCTGTCTCTACAAAATATTAAAAAATTAGCCAGGTGGGGGGGGCCTGCACCTGTAGTCCCAGCTACTTGGGATGCTGAGGCAAGAGGAGCGACTGAGACCAGGGGGTTACGATCGAACCACTGCACTCCAGCCTGGGTGACGGAGCAAGACCCTGTCTTTTTTTTTGATGTTTTTTTGGTTTTTTTTTGAGATGGAGTTTCGCTCTTATTACCCAGGCTGGAGTGCAATGGCGGGATCTCGGCTCACCGCAACCTCCGCCTCCTGGGTTCAAGCAATTATCCTGCCTCAGCCTCCCAAGTAGCTGGGACTACAGACGTGCACCACCACACCCAGCCAATTTTGGTATTTTTAGTAGAGACGGGGTTTCACCATGTTGACCATGATGACCAGGATGGTCTCGATCTCTTGACCTCGTGATCCACCCACCTTGGCCTCCCAAAGTGCTGGGATTATAGGTGTGAGCCGTCGTACCTGGCCAAGACCCTGTCTTAAAAAAAATGTCCACGTGTGTTTGTGTGTGTCTGTTTCAAATATATATATATATGTATGGGTATATATATAAAAATGTGTGTGTGTGTGTGTGTCTGTGTGTGTGTCTGTGTGTGTGTGTATTTGAAAGAAACATCACCAATCATGACAAAAACCTCAAAATGTTTATATGGAATAGATAAGATGCAAAATTAACCTACAAGATTAAATTTTAAAGAAATATTCACTAGTTTATCTAATAAAGTACATTATTTTTATAGAGATGCAGTCTTGCAATGTTGTCCAGGCTGGTCTTGAGCTCCTGGCCTCAAGTGATCCTCCCATGTCAGCTTCCCAAAGTACTGGGATTATAGGTGTGAGTCACCATGCCCAGCCTAAATAATTTTTAATGTATTCTCTGAGAGACTGTTATCCTACTAACTCTTTCTCTTACATAGCATCTCAAACAGGCCAACACATTTGGAGTAAGGGAGGAGGAAAACATTCTGTTAGACATAGGTATATAATTTGATAAAACACAGCATCTTAGAATTGTTTTTGAGGATTTTGGAGATTCAAAGGCCAGAAAGACGACATGATAAAGCAGAAATGACACTGCCCATAGATAGGAAAGCTGTTGAGATCAGACTGAATATTAGTTACAGACAATATCCACCAGTGTTCTAAAACCCAGAGGTCACTCAGCAAAGTTTAATTTTCTACTAAGCCACAGTATCTATTAATAGACTCTAGCTTAAACTGAAAAGATATAAATAAAAAGAATAATTTGCTAGCTATCTCTAATTAAAATTTGTATCAAAGACATGTAACAAGCAATGTGGTCATGCAAGCTTCTATCTAGAGACTGTGTGCTCATTAGTAAAATAATTGGGGCAGTGGGGAGGACTAAGAAGCAAACGAATAGTGAAAGCAACAAGAAATAAATTTTTCTGTCTTCCAACAAAGACCTTTAAAGTAGTTCAGGAAACCTAGCTTTCACTCTCAGGTTAGGTACTTTTCCTCTTTGTGGGGACAGGAGTCTGTCTCACTTTGTTGACCTGGCTGGACTAAAGTGGCCCAATCTTAGCTTCCTGCAGCTTCAAATTCAAGCAATCCTCTTCCTTCAGCCTTCCATGTAGCTAGATAGGCATAAGCCACCATGCGCAACTAGGTACTATTTAAATAGGCTAATATAGCCAGAAGAAAGTATAGCATAAGCCAGCCTTTACGTGTAAAGACTGGTAAAATATTAAGTACTAAAACTGGATAGCAGATATATGGGAGTCCATTATTGCACTTCCGCACACATGAAACATTTCTAAATGAAAATTTAAAAAGTATACTAGTAATTCCATCAGCCTGGCTTGGTACCCTCCAAGGAAGAAATAAAAAACAGAAAAGGCTTTGGCTATGAGCAGTATGGTTTTTTATACGCAAGTTTTAAATAAAATTTATTTATCTTAAATAAAGGCAGTATGTGCTCAATCTAATTCCAAAGACACAAATATTTAAAAAATAAGTCGCATTTTACATTTGAACATAAACATACAATTTAATATGCATGTTAAGTGATAAGGCTGGCCAGGCGCAGTGGCTCACACCTGTAATCCCAGCACTTTAGGAGACCAAGGCGGATGGATCATCTGAGGTCAGGAGTTAGAGGCCAGCCTGGCTAATATGGTGAAACTGCGTCTCTACTAAAAATACAAAAATTAGCCAGGCGTGGTGGCAGGCGCCTGTAATCCCAGCTATTTGGGAGGCTGAGTCAGAAGAATCGCTTGAACCTAGGAGGAGGAGATTGTAGTGAGCTGAGATTGTGCCACTGCACTCCAGCCCAGGCAATAAGAGTGAAACTCTGTCTCAAAAAAAAAAAAAAAAAAAAATTAAAAAACAAGTAAAAAGGCTATTTATGTTAACTCAAGTACTAATTTATGATGACTAGCTTTTTTTAAACTAACTGAGAAATTCACATAAAGGCTATGACATAAATTTTCTTGAAAGGTGAAGTTATATTTTAAAACACTATATAACTAGACATGCAGATAACAAATCCATCTAATTTGATTCTGTTTTTAAAAACTGATTAAAGAGTTCTAAAACTTCTTACAAAAATCCAAAGATCATATAATCAACAAAATGATGCTTACCTTAGACATTCACTAAGAACTTTGGGCTCATCTGGCTGCACATTTTGCAAAGAATCATTTTTCTCAGGCTGTAATATGACATCTTCCTCTTCAAAATCTTCACAAGATTGATCTTCCATGTGTTGAGGAGTCTTGAAAACAAACAATATTTTTTAATGTTTTGGGTTTCACAATGTGGCATAACAGATTTCATTGAAAATGTTGTTCAATTTAAGTATAAAATGGCAAAAAATTTAAAATTATAAAATCGTGACTTTAAAATACTTTTAATGCTTTTACTTTAGCTATCTGAGAAAATTTCATGAGCTGCTCCTTTTAGTATATCTCAAAGCTCCATTCTTTTCCTCCTAATCAAAGTAACTGCTTTGGTCTCACCTATCAGAAATATCCCATGGGGACCTATGTTTCTGAATTCTTTTGATTATTATAATTGCATCATAGACCACGGGACTTTTTTTTTTTTTAAAGACAGGGTCTCACTCTGTCACCCACACTGGAGTGCAATGGCATGATCATAGATAGCTCACTGAAGGCTTCAACTCCTGGGCTCAAGTTATCCTCCCGCCTCAGCTCCCAAGTAGCTGGGACTATAGGAGCACACCACCGAGCCCAGGTAATTAAAAAATTTTTTTTTGCTGAGAATGATGGTCATCATTCTCAGTAATCTGACACAAGAACAGAAAACCAAACGCCTCATGTTCTCACTCATAGGTGGGTGCTGAACAATGAGAACACATGGACACAGGGAGGGGAACATCACACACTGGGGTCTATTGGGGGGTAAGGGGCTAGGGGAGGGATAGCAGCGGGTGGGGAGGTTGGGGAGGGATAACATTGGGGGAAATGCCTGATGTAGGTGATGGGGATGGAGGCAGCAAACCACCATGGCATGTGTGTACCTATGTAACAATCCTGCAAGTTCTGCACATGTACCCCAGAACTTAAAGTATAATTATAAAAAAAACATTTATTTTGTAGAAACAGAGTGTCACTATATTGACAGACTGGTCTCAGACACCTGGCCTCAAGCAATCCTCTCACCTCAGCCTCCCAAAATGCTGGGATTACAGGCATGAGTTCACCATGCCTGGCCTGTGGACCTTGGAAATTAGAAGAAATTGAAATCTCAAAACACATCAACTTTTACCTTTATCACAATAATTATGTAAATAATCTAAAATTCACAGTCTTTGTTCTTAGAATTGTATCTTAGTGGGGAGCTTTTAACATTTTATGCTGTTTAAGCCAATGTTAAAACTCACATATGTACTAATCTCTTCAAAAGAGGAGGTTAATTCAAATATCCACTAAGTGACAGGAAAAACCAAATCCAAATATGAGGTCAGGTGACACAGATTACCTGTCATGTAAATGCTCAAAATCTAAAATGGCTTTACAATTAGCAAGGCTGCTGGCTATGAGATTTGACCATGAATTTAATAAATGATTCACACAAATTGTGAGGTAATGTTTTTAAAAGAGGGTAGAGGGGTTGGGCATGGTGGCTCAAGCCTGTAATCCCAGCACTGTGGGAGGCCGAGGCATGTGGATCACCTGAAATAAGGAGTTTGAGACCAGCCTGGCCAACATAGCAAAACCCCATCTCCACTAAAAATACAAAAATTAGTTGGACTTGGTGGTGTGTACCTGTAGTTCCAGCTACTAGGGAGGCTGGAGGCAGGAGAATCGCTTCAACCTGGGTGGTAGAGGTTGCAGTGAGCCAAGATTGTGCCACTGCATTCTAGCCTGGGTGACAGAAGAGACTCTCAAAAAAATAAATAAGTAAGGGTGAAGGGAAGTTTATATTAAGGCTCATGTACTTGTCTAACAAAAATGTGAGGAGGAATCAGAGTACTTACGTCTCTACCAACACAGGATTCATTTTGATTCTTTTCATCTCTATCAACACAGGATTCATTTTCATTCTTTTCTACATTGGCCCCAATTTCTTGCTGTGATATGAGAATTTCTTTTCTTTGAGCAGCTTTACCTACATTTGGCTTTGGCTTTTGCAATCGGCCCCTCACTTGTGCAGGTTTTTCACCCAAACTAGAACCACAAAGGAGTAAAATAAATGTTTATTGTGAAGTCACAAATTTCCTTCTCCCTGGCATGAATAAATAAACCATTTGGAATATGAAATAATTCACAAGTGTCCTGAAAAGACATAATCCGGCTGGGCACAGTGGCTCACGCCTATAATCCCAACACTCTGGGAGGCCAAAACGGGAGGATCATTTGAGGTTAGGAGTTTAAGACCAGCCTGGCCAACATGGTGAAACCCCATCTCTGCTAAAAATACAAAAATTAGCCAGGCATGGTGGTGGGCACCTGTAATCCCAGCTACTTGGGAAGCTGAGGCAAGAGAATTGCTTAAACCCGGGAGGCAGAGGTTGCAGTGAGCAGAGACTGAGCCACTTTGAGACAGAGCAAGACTCCATCTCAAAAAAAAAAAAAAAAAAAAAAAAGAAAAAGACAAGACATGATCCTGGAAGCCTATTTTAAAAAACAATTTTAAATAGAATTTTATTACAAAATTGAAAAAATCTACATTGGACAAGCATATAATACTATTCCTAAGGATACTATAGGATAATGTACAACTCCAGGGGATTAATCCCAAATCATGATATAAATGGTAAACCCTGGAACAGCCCAGAATCCACCAGTCAGATTCACAATGGAGTGAAGCCTATTCTAGATTTCCATTTCAAGTTAAATATTCCCTTTTGAAATCCCTTGCTATAAATAAAATTATCCAAAAACATATATTGTAACCACTGAAATGTAACAGCTAACTCAATAGATTCATAAAATTTACTTAAGCAATATCAAACAGAGAATTATTAATGTTTCAAAACCATCTGTTGTTGAAAATAAACAAGGTACACCACTTGAAAATAAAATTCAGAACTTACTAAGTAGAAAACAAATTATTACAATCATTCCTAAGATATACTATTTTCATACTACTTCCTGAATACTTACATAGATACAGTTTCAGCTTCTGGAGTCTCTTTCTCTGTATTCTCCATTCTCAGAATGTCCAACTTATTCATTTTATCCTTTTCCATGTGGTTCTGTGAATTTAATTTCCTACAATTTATCTACTTACCATAAAAAGTTCAAACTTCATAATAAATAGAAATTAAAACAACAGAACTGGCCCAGAGCAGTGGCTCAAGCCTGTAATCCTAGCACTTTGGGAGGCCAAGGCAGGTGGACTGGCTGAGCTCAGGAGTTCGAGACCACCCTGAGCAACGAGGTAATACCCCACCTCTACTAAAATACAAAAAATTAGCCAGGCGTGCCCGAGTAGTCCCAGCTATTTGGGAGGCTAAGGCGGAAGAATTGCTTAAACCTGGTAGGCAGAGATTGCAGTGAGCTGAGGTCACGTCACTGCACTCTAGCAGGGGTGACGGAATGAGACTTTGCCTCCAAAAATAAATAAATGTGAACTACAATTTTTGTACTTCTAACTAGAACAGATTTTCTAAAACTCTTAAATGCAGATGAGAATTTTTTTTTTCTTTTTTTTTAGACAGGGTCACACTCTGTTGACCAGGCTAGAGTACAGTGATAGCTCACTGCAGCCTTGACCTCTCAGGTTCAGGTGATCCTCCCACCTCAGCCTCCTGAGTAGCTGGGACTACAGGTGCACACCATGCCCAGCCAGTTTTTTCTATTTTTTGTAGAGGCTGGATCTCACCATGTTGTCCAGGCTAGTTTCAAACTCCTGGGCTCAGGTGATCAGCCCGCCTCAGCCTCCCAAAGGGCGGGGCTTACAGGTGTAAGCCACAACATCTGGTGTAAATTTTTTTTTTTTTTGAACAAAAATGGAATCACACTAAATATTTTAGAAAGACATTTCTGGGCCGGGCGCGTTGGCTCAAGCCTGTAATCCCAGCACTTTGGGAGGCCGAGGCGGGTGGATCACGAGGTCAAGAGATCGAGACCATCCTGGTCAACACGGTGAAACCCCGTCTCTACTAAAAATACAAAAAATTAGCTGGGCATGGTGGCGTGTGCCTGTAATCCCAGCTACTCAGGAGGCTGAGGCAGAAGAATTGCCTGAACCCAGGAGGCGGAGGTTGCGGTGAGCCGAGATTGTGCCATTGCACTCCAGCCTGGGTAACAAGAGCAAAACTCCGTCTCAAAAAAAAAAAAAAAAGACATTTCTGAAATGTTAACTACCAAAGGATACAAAACTAAACTGAAACCACGACTCAGGCCAGGCGTGGTGCCTCATGCCTGTAATCCCAGCACTTTGGGAGGCCGAGGTGGACAGATCACAAGGACTGGAGTTCAAGACCAGCCTGGCCAACATGGTGGAATCCCATCTACTAAAAATATAAAAATTAGCCAGGTGCGGTAGCAAACGCCTGTAGTCCCAGCTACTCAGGAGGCTGAGGCAGGAGAATTGCTTGAACCTTGGAGGCAGAGGTTGCAGCAAGCCAAGACCATGCCATTGCACTCCAGCCTGAGCAACAGAGTGAGATATCATCTCGGAAAAACAAACAAACAAACAAACAAAACAAAACCATGGCTCAGATTTGTGAAAGAAAATCTGTAAGGATATATGTGAAAAGATTGATTACATGTGAATAATGAAATTACAAGTGTTGGAACAAGATTACAACACTTCAAAGAAAAAAGGTGAAGAAAAAAATTACCACTAATTTTTAACTTTTACATGAATCTGCATTTTCCAAATTTTCTAGAATTCAATAATTATAAGATTAGAAATTATATAACTATACTATAAAGATTATGATAAAAGATATATCACATAACAGGAAAAGAAGCAAACCAACATCTTAAAAAGTGTTTTAGCAAATAAATTCTTTAAGACAGTTTGACAATGCATAACAATTCAGGAAATTCAGACATCAGAAAATTTTTTAAAGTAATAAAAAGAACAACAAAACACAATGTATAACAAGAGTCATAAAAATATTTAAAATATTATTTGACCCAACAATCCCATCATCTCTAGACGTTTACCCTTTGTCTGTATCCTTGAGAAAGCCTTATTTACAAAATAGTTTGCTTCTAATATACAAGACTTAAAAAAACAAACCAAAATAGAAACAACCTAAACATCCATCAGTAGCATGTGAATAATGTAGCATGTGAATACTGATTACACACATCAATAATATGCTAACCCGATATAGCTATTAAAAAGATCAATGGGACCCAAAGAAGGGTAAATTAATAGTTTCAGAGAAAAAGGTTTTTATCATTTTTTATGTTTTCGAGACTGTTTCGCTCTGTCACCCAGGCTAGAGTGCGGTAGCACAATCTCGGCTCACTGCAACCTCCTCCCTCCTGGGTTCAACCAATTCTCATGCCTCAAACTCCCAAGTAGTTGGGATTACAGGTGTGTGATACAATGCCCAGCTAATTTTTTTGTGTTTTTAGTAGAGATGGGGTTTCGTCATGTTGGCCAGGATGGTTTCAAACTCCTGGCCTAAAGTGATCCACCCGCCGCCTTGGTCTCCCAAAGTGCTGGGATTACAGGTGTGCACCACTGTGGCCAGCTGAAAAGGTTTTGGCCGGGCACAGTGTCTCACACCTGTAATCCCACCACTTTGGGACACGGAGGCGGGCAAATCACAAGGTCAGGAGTTTGAGACCAGCCTGGCCAACATGGTGAAACCCTGTCTCTACTAAAAATACAAAACATAGCTGGGCGTTGAGGCACATGCATGTAATCCCAGCTACTTGGGAGGCTTAGGCAGAAGAACTGCTTGAACGCAGGAGGCGGAGGTTGTAGTGAGCTGAGATCATGCCACTGCACTGCAGCCTGGTGACAGAGCAAGACTCTGTCTCAAAAAAAAAAAAAAAAAAAAAAAATTGTATAAACAAAAGACTAGTAAGATAGGAACAAATCTTTTTTTTTTTTTTATACTTTAAGTTCTGGAGTACATGTGCAGATCGTCCAGGACTGTTACATAGATATACACGTGCCATGGTGGTTTGCTGCATCTATCCCCCCATCATCTATATTAGATATTTCTCCTAATGTTATCTCTCCCCAATTCCCCCACCCCCTGCCTATCCCTCCCCTAGCCCCTGCTCCCCTCAACAGACCCCGGTGTGTGATGGCCCCTGTGTCCATGAGAACATTTGGTGTTTCGTTTTCTGTTCTTGTGTCAGTTTGCTGAGAATGATGGTTTCCAGCTTCATCCATATCCCTGCAAAGGACATGAACTCATCCTTTTTTATGGCTACATAGTATTCCATGGTGTATATGTGTCACATTTTCTTTATCCAGTCTATCATTTATGGGCATTTGGGCTGGGTCCAAGTCTTTGCTATTGAAAACAGTGCCACAATGAATATATGTGTGCATATGTCTTTATAATGATGTATAATCTTTTGGGTATATACCCAGTATTGGGATTGCTGGGTCAAATGGTATTTCTATTTCTAGATCCTTGAGGAATTGCCACACTGTCTTCCTCACTGGTTGACTAATTTACATTCCTACCAATAGTGGAAAAGTGTTAAGGCAGGAACAAATCTAATGTTAAGTTCTTGTAACTGTTTTAATATCAGTAACAGTGCTTTGTAATTACAAGTCAAAAATCTGTATTCCTATTTAGGGAAAATTTTTATAATTTTAATTTCCATAAAGTCTCTTACACCATACCTTTTCAACTGAAGTTTCTGAGTGTGAATTCTTGCTCTCTGCCTCTGTTTTGCCTTCTGAAGGAACTGATTTCTTCCCAGCCCTTGACAAATTGGGTTTAGGTCTCTGGAAGTGACCTCTCAATATTGGTTTAACATTTTCTGTTTGATCAATTTCCCTGAAAAATTAACGTTATTTAATAGCATCCAACATACAATCATGTCCAAATGAACTTCTAAAATAACCTGTTGAGAACTAGGAAGAACTCCTTTAAGAGCTTACTTAGAATAAGAGTAGCAAAGAAAACTTAAAAAGAAGAAAATAACTTATTCTATCTGATTTTAGAAATATACTATTCATCATCAGCAATCAAAACAGTGTTATTAATAGATGAATAAACAAAATAAAATTTAAAATCCAGAAAATGACTCCAAAATAGACATGATTTTGGCATATACTGAAGGTAGCATCTCACAATAAGGAAGATAAGATGAAATGCAATACAATACAATGAGGATAAAATTAATAAATACTAAGATCAAATGAAGATGGGAAGGCTGGGCACGGTGGCTCACGTCTATGATCCCAGCACTTTGAGAAGCCGAAGTGGGTGGATCACCTTTGGGAAGCTGAGGTCAGGAGTTTGAGACCAGCCTGATCAACATGGTGAAACCCATTTCTATTAAAAATACAATTACCCAGGTGTGGTAGCAAGTGCCTGTAGTCCCAGCTACTCAAGAGGCTGAGGCAGGAGAATTGCTTGAACCCAGGAGGCGGAGGTTGCAGTAGGCCAAGACGGCGCCACTGTACTCCAGCCTGGGCAACAAGAGTAAGACTGTCTCAAATTTTAAAAAAAAAAAAAAACAAAAAAAAACATTAGCTGGATGTGGTAGTGTGTACCAGTTACTTGGGAGACTAAGGTGGGAAGATCACCTAAACCTGGGAGGTCGAGGTTGCAGTGAGTTAAAATCACACCACTGGACTCTTGCCTGGGCAACAGAGTGCAACCTTGTCTCAAATAAATAAATAAATAAATCATAAATGTTTAAAGGTGCATGTGTGTGTGTACACACCACATATTCTGTCAGCTCAGGAACTTACCCTACAAATATACTTGTATATAGGCGAAAAGACAGAGGTACAAGACTATAAACATTGTTTAGCAAAACAACCTACATAGCAGACAATAGGGCACTGATAATATGAGCTATGATGCACACATACACAGAACACTATTAATCTACAAAAAGAACAAGGAGAGTATCTATGTAAGACTATGAAAAGACAGAAGAAAACAACTACAAAATGTTATATATAGTATACTGTCATTAGGTTTATAGGTAGAGCAAAAAATATAAATTTGTATTAGCTTGAATGTACTTTTTTTTAATCTCTGAAAGAATATAAGAAATAACATGGACTGAGTGTAAGGGGACAGGTAAGAGGGAGAGTTCAATCATACCTTTTTATACTTTTTGATGTTTGAACCCTATGAATGTATTTCCTATTTCAAAGACTAATTTACATTTTTATTTTTTAAAGGTTTGATTTCTATTGTGACAGTACTTTGCTGAAAAATAAACTGAACAGCCTTTAAGCCCATATGAGATGAGGAATTATGAGGGATATTAAAAGTAAGTATAAAATCTTCAGGTATCTCTTAAAAGGGAGATTTTTATAATGCTTTTAATAGTTTTTTGGGAAGATATTAATTTAACAAGTATCTACATACTAGACGATATACTTCCTTGAAATCATCAATATCAAAATCCATTATTTTGACTCCAAGCATAAAAAAACTCGAATCAAGTAAAAGTAAAATTTCATGGTAAATATTTAGGCTTCCAAATTGTTTTCGAATTTCCTAAGTTACCACCTTCCTAAAATTCATATTATACATCAGATATGAAAGAGAATCTTTCTGCAATGAAATACAAAGTAAAACACCTGATGTTACACTCTTAACAGACCACAGTATAGTTACATATTAAATGATCCCCTCTAATCCTTAAATAAAGCAACATTACTATCATTTAAGAACCTTATCAAAATTTTAGAAATAAATTCTATTGTATAAAATACTTACAGTGACTTTTTTTTTAGGTCAATATTTCTTTCTTCTGTACAGCTACCCACAGCATTATTCACCTCACACAATGCTTTAATTCCAACTTCTAATGAAGGAAAATCTGGAGTGCTTGATTCTGAAGCCTCAGTTGCTACTGATGTGACATCTTGTTGATTACTAAAAAAAAAAAAAAGAAACTATATCAGAGAGAGATTTCCTAATACATATTTTATAATAATTATTTTTAAAAATTTTAAACACACAAAATTACCATTTTGCAAGATGCTGCTTCATATTATAGAATAATACAAACTGCTGTATTAGCTTTTCTATGATCCATCTTGCATCATGTTATAGAAAACTGTACCACCAGAGAAGCAGCAGCCACAAATTTACATGCTTAGGAACATGCTCAAGAAGTTTCAAAATGAAGGCATGGCGGCTCACGCCTGTAATGCCAGTACTTTGGGAGGCTGAGGCAGGCAGATCACTTGAGGCTAGGAGTTTGAGACCATCCTGGCCAACATGGTTAAACCCTGTCTCTACTAAAAATACAAAAACTAGCTGGGCATAGTGGTGCAGGCCTATAATCCCACCTACTCGAAAGGCTGAGACACAAGAATCATTTGAACCCAGGAGGCGAAGATCACCACTGTACTCCAGCCTGGGTGACAGAGCAAGACTCTATCTCAAAAAAAAAAGTCTTCAAAATGAGAAATTATTAAATGGGGTTTAAAAATCAAACACATGTAAAATAATAGTAATATTTAGGAATTAGCTTTCATTAAAATTTATATAGGTAATCCTTGCTTTGCAGGGTACTGTGTAACCAAGTCATACAAAGTGAGGAGGACACAGCTCCAATAAGCTCAAGTTGCAGTTAACATAGTCCTACACAAAGTGAGAACTACAACATTTAAAAATATTTCAAATATCAGCCAGGTGTGGTGGCACATGCCTATAGTCCCAGCTACTCAGAAGGCTGAAGTGAGGGGACTGCTTAAGCCCAGGAAGTCAAGGCTGCAGTGACCTGAGATTGCACCACTGCACTCCAGCCTAGGCAAGAGAGCAAGATCCTGTCACAAAATAAATTTCAACTAACAGTAACATAATTGATGGCCATACACTGACCATTTTAAACATATATTCACATTTAGCCATACCTTTTTTTTTTTTTTTTTTTTTTGGTCCATTTTTCTACTAGGTGTTTATCTTTTCCTGACTTGTTAGCAAGACTTTTCTACATATTTTTATTGTCTAGATGTTACACATAAAACCTCCTTATCAGTAACTTGCCTTTTATTTTCTTTATGGAGCCTTTGTTAACAGACTTCTTTAATTTTACTACCATCAAACTTACCAATCTTATTTTTTAAAGTCTGTGTTTTCTATGTCTTAATAAATCCTTGATATTACAAAGATATTTTTCTATATTTCTTCTAAAAGTTGTAAAGATTTGTTTTCAGTCTTCAATCCATCAGGAAGTTAGTGGCTATGGTAATCCAACCAAGCATAAAATATTACATTTTTCAAATATCTAATGAATAGTTAGTTCAATCTTTGCCCCCTAATTTCCAAAGCTACCTCTGCCATATGACAGATTCCTAAATGTCTCCTCCTAAACTCTATATTCAGTTCCACTGAGTCAATTCGTCTAACTCTGTACCAATACCATGCTGTTGTAGTTATTCTAGCTTGAACATTAGTCTAGGACAGGAAGTCCCTCTCCAAAGTTGGTGTTTTCTAAAACTGTCTTTATCATTGGTGAGCCTTTGTTCTTGTGTATATGATAATTTTAGAATAAACTCTTTGTTTTCCAAAAACAACTGGGATTTTAACAGTCATTACAGGGTTGTTTTTTCCCCTGAATTAGAAAAAGTTGGGGCCAGGCACAGTGGCTCACAATGAGGTGGGAGAATCGCTTGTGCCCAGGAGTTTGAGACCAGCCTGGAAAACACCTCTATTAAAAAATATTTTCAAGATTAGCTAGGCGTGGAGTCCCATGACTGCAGTCCCAGCTTCTCGGGAGGCTATTATTAAAATTAACAATAATTTAAAAAAATTATTTTAAAAATTAGAAAAAGCCATAAATACAGTTTTGTATAGTTTATGAAATTAGGTGTATCTCTGAAGTCACACTTTAGATATCTGTCAACTAGGAACAAACAACTATGAGAAATAGCATATGATTCCACTTACGTAACATATCTAGATTAGACAGAGTCATGGAGACAGAAAGTAGTCTACAGCCTTACCCCTCTGAATGGGCCTAATTTGATCTCAAGCTAAGCAAGTCTGGGCCTGGTTAGCACTTGGATGGGAGACAGAAAGCAGATTAGAGATTATCAGTGGTTGCAGCAAGGGGAGAAGGAGAAATTACAGCATAATGGGTACAAGTTTTCTGTTTGCAGTAATAAAAACAGCTTTATAAATGGTGTTGATGGCTGCACAACAATGTAAATGTAACCAATGGCACTAAATTATATGCTTAAAAATAATTAATAGCTTTAAGTTTGTCTTTGGCAATAGTTTCTTAGATATGACACCCAAAAGTATAGGAAACAAAAGCAAAATTAGACATGGGACTACATTGAACTCAAAAGCTTCTGTACACCAAAGGAAACGGTAGAGTGAAAAGGCATCCTATGGAATGGGAGAAAATGTGAAAGTCATATTTCTGATAAGGGGCTAAAATCCAAACTACATGAATAATTCTCAAAACTCAACAGCAAAAAATAAAATAACCTAATTAAAAAATTGGGCACAGGACCTCAATAGACATTTCTCCAAAGAAGAGATACAAATGGCTAACAGCTTAGAAAGATGCTCAACATCAAAAATAATCAGGGAAATGCAAATCAAAAAGAACCATAAGATACCACCTTCTATTTGTTCAGACAGACCTTACTAATAAAATGAAAGGCTGCATTAATTGAAGAGGATGTGAAAAAAACTGAAACCCTTGAACACTGTTGGTGGTTAAGTAAAATGGTTCACCCACTATTGGAAACAGTATGAGGGTCCTCAAGAAATTAAAAGTAGAATGATCATATGATCTAGCAACCCCACTTCTGGATATTTATCTACAAGAATTGAAATCTCGAAGCAATATTTGCACTCCCATTTTCAGTGATGCCAACAGACAGAAACAACCTAAATGTCTGTCAACCAATGACTGGATAAAGAAAATGTGGCATATACATGTAATGGGATATTATTCAGTCATAAAAAAGGAAATTTTGTCCAGAGTGGTGGCTCACACCTGTAATCTCAGCACTTCAGAAGGCCGAAGCAGGTGGATCACGAGGTCAGGAGTTCAACACCAGTCTAGCCAACACAGTGAAACCCATCTCTACTAAAAATATTAAAAAAAATTAGCTGGGTGTGGTGGTGTGCACCTATAATCCCAGCTACTCAGGAGGCTGAAGAAGAACTGCCTGAACCCAGCAGGCAGGGGTTGCAGTGAGCCACGATCACACCATTGCACTCCAGCCCAGGAGACAGTGTAAGACTCAAGCCTCAAAAAAAAAAAAAAAAAGGGAAATCTTGTCATATGCTACAACATGGATGAAACTTCAAGATATTACACCAAGTGAAATAAGCCAGTTACAGAAAAATACTCCAATAGGCACTGTAGCTCACGCCTGTAATCCGAGCACTTTAGGAGGCCAAGGTGGGTGGATCACCTGAGCTCCGTTCAAGATGAGCCTGAACAACATGGTGAAACCCCATCTCTACTAAAAATACAAAACATTAGCTGGGTGTGGTGGTGCATGCCGATGGTCCCAGCTACTTGAGAGCCTGGGAGGCTGAGGTTGCAGTGAGCTGAGATTGTGCCACTGCACTCCAGCCTGGGTGACAGAGTGAGACCCCATCTCAAAAACAAAACAAAACAAAACAAAACAAACAAAACAAAACAAAAAAGAAAAAGAAAGAATCATGATTGCCAAGGGCTGGGAGGAGGAAACGGGAGTTGCTGTTCAATGAGTATAGAGGCGCAGTTATGCAAGGTAAAAAAAAAAAAAATTCCAGAGATTGGCAACATAACACTGTGCTTAAAATTAACAATATTGTATACTACACATAAAAAATCTGTTAAAGGGTAAATCTCATGTTGTTATATTACAATCAAATTTGAAAGCACACACACAGCAGGACACATCATATTCAAACTAACGAAAACCAAAGATAGAGAAAACCGTTACAGAAAATGATAAACCCACGCAAACACACAACCAAAAGAAAGCTACAATGGCAAAGTAAACATCAGAAAAAAAGAGCAATACCAGAAGGACAGTACACAATGATAAAGGGAATTTCACCAAGAAGACAAAACAATCCTAGATATGTACACATCTAACAACAGAGCTTCAAAATATATGAGGCAAAAACAAATAAAACTGAAAAAACGCAACAAGCAAATCCACAATTACAGATGGAGACTTCGACACTCCTTTCTCAGGAATCAACAGATGTGGATAAAACCAGACATAGAAAATACCTTAATGAAAGGATGGGGTCAGTTCTTTTCTCAACTTTTTCACTGGAGGCAGAACCCACAATGCCATCTATGGAAGGCATCTGCTCCTTACTGCATTCACCTTCCTTTACATCAGGACTTACAGACTGACATTTATCTACAAATACAAAATGCATGTTATTATAAAAACGACGGCAAAAACACCTTTTTAAAGGCACAAAGGAATTTACCTATAACATGGTCCTTTCCTACAAAACTTTAGTCCATTCAACATTCAAGTTCCTATTTGCAAGGCACACATCTTATTTTTAGACCATAATAAAAACTTAACATACATGAGGATCAGCCCAAGCTTCTTAGGCAATTTGTAGCATCTTCCTTTTATCTTAATTTTTAAGTACTTAAAGTGACTTATTTTATATGTCAAGTAAGGAAACTAAAAGTTGATTTAAACTATTTTTTTTGCTCCTTCAGAAGTGTACTTTTTTTTTTAGAAGTGTACTGATTAATAACAGTGATAGCTATCACTTATTGAGTACTTACTAAGTGGCAGGAACCCTTAAGTCCATAAGATGCATTATCTCATTTAATACTTGAAATAATCCTATTAAAAGGTATTAAAATTAATCTCATAGAGAACCACCTAAGTTCAGAGATCTTAAATAACTTGCCCAATGCAACACTTAAGCAAGTAAAAAGCTGGAATTTAAAGCAAGGTCTGTTTGATTTCTAAAACCTGTTTGTGAATCATTAAGCTGTTCTGCATTATGTGTAATGACTCTAAGAGTAAGCCAAAAAAAGAGCATAATACTGTGATGTCTACAAAGCATACTATGTTAGCTACCAGGACTCTTATTAAAATCAGATGGGTAGGCCCGGCATGGTAGCTCACGCCTGTAATCCCAGCATTTTGGGAGGCTGAGGCAGCCAGATTGCGGGGTCCAGAGACTGAGACCATTCTGGCCAACATGGTGAAACCACGTCTGTACTAAAAGTACAAAAATTAGCTGGGCGCAGTGGTGCGCACCTGTAGTCCCAGCTACTTGGGAGGCTGAGGCAGGAGAATCGCTTGAACCCTGGAGGTGGAGGTTGCTGTAAGCCAAGATTGTGCTACTGCACTCGAGCCTGGAGACAGAGCCAGATTCTATCTCAAAAATATAAATAAAAATAAATAAAAATAAAATCAGATGGGTAAATCTCAACTATGGAAAATACAAATTTTATAGAAAGGTTGTTCTGGTCTGCTCCTACCTTTTCCTTAACAGCTTTAAATAATCTATATATGAACTCCTAAGAAAAGGGACCAGGACTCCCTGTCAAACTCTTAGCCCTCATCCCCAAGCAACTCCTAAGTGGCAATATGTTTGCATTCGAAGAGTAAAAAAGAAAAATGGAAGGAATACATATTCCATTAGTTCTTCTATAGCAATTAAACAATCTCTTGTGAGTTCACAGAGGTGCTCTGTAGAGGTACAACATGAAAACCTGTGTTTTATTAACGGATATAAGCGACATACTTTTAAATATATAGACATGTGATTTCTAATCATAGTTAATGGGAAGGCACAGGAGGTGATAGATACATCTTAGAAACAAACTTTAGAGGCCTCTGCCCCGCTCCGCCCCGCCCCACCCTGCCCCATGAGGCAGCCGGTGGGGTGCAGGGGTCATTTAAAAAAAAAAGAAACAAACTTAATCTCCCCACTTTCATTTATTTCCTTTAATTTTTTTTTACAATAACCTTTTTTCCTTTTATTAAAAATAAAAAGCATTAGCACAGTATCATGAATACAGAATAAGCATCATTAATTGCTATCTAGACAGAAAATTAAGTTACATACCATATTACTGTACATGTCCTCTCAAGTAACATAAAAGCTTTTTAAATATAACTTACCCTTGTGTTTTTTTCCTTTAGAAGGACCCGCGTGAACAGGGGCATTTTCTAAAAGATTGTTTACTTCCAGTTCATTAGCCTTATCTTGATTCTTCCTTTTTCGTTTCTTTTGATTTAGGTCTACTTCTAATACAACCTGTTCTGCATCTTCCCCTGATAAAGTCAGAGACTCTTCTTCAACTGTCTGAGCATCCTTCTGAGATCTTTCTGTGTCTGAAATTCTAGAACTCATAGACTCATCTGGATCATCATTCACTCCTTCACAGGCAACTTTTTTCACTGAAAACAAGAGAAATGGCTATAACTATGTAAACAACCTAAAGAAAAATTTGTAAAGGTGGAGAAGATATTCAAAGATGTCCTCTATAGTATTTATTTATATAAACAAAAAACCTAAAGACAACCTAAAATGTCCAATGGGAAATGACTAAATAATATGTAAAAATCCATGCAGCCAAAAACAATAATGAGGTAAATTTATACGTACTTATGTGAAAAATTTCAAAGCATATTGTTGCATTTAAAAAAATCAAGTGGCAGTCAGGTGTGGTGGCTCATGCCTGTAATCCCAGCACTCTGGGAGGCCAAGCAGGCGGACACGAGGTCAGGAGATAGAGACCATGCTGGCCAAAATGATGAAACCCCATCTCTACTAAAAACATAAAAATTAGCTGGGTGTGGTGGCACACACCTGTAGTCCCAGCTACTTGGGAGGCTGAGGCAGCAGAATTGCCTGAACCCAGGAGGTGGAGGTTGCAGTGCACGGAGGTCACGCCACTGTACCCTAACCTGGCAACAGAGTGAGGCTCCGTCTCAAAAAAAAAAAAAAATCAAGTGGCAGAACAAGATACACATAACATCTCCTTTTTATTAAACAAAAACAATTACATATAGAGATGCTCCTTAACTTACACTGAGTTTCAACCTAATAAACTCATCATAAGTTGAGTATACTGTAAATCGAAAAGCCATTTAATACAGGCCAGATGCAGTGGCTCATGCCTGTAATCCCAGCACTTTGGGATGCCAGGGCTGCAGATCATCTGAGGTCAGGAGTTCGAGACCAGCCTGGCCAACATAGTGAAACCCCATCTCTATTAAAAATACAAAAATTAACTCAGCACCTGTAATCCTAGCTACTCAGGAGGCTGAGGCAGGAGAATCACTGAAACCTGGGAGGCGGAGGTTGCAGCGAGCCAAGATCATGCCATTTTACTCCAGCCTGGGCAATAAAAGCAAAACTCTGGGCTGGGCGTGGTGGCTCACACTTGTTATTCCAGAGCTTTGGGAGGCTGAGGCAGGTGGATCACTTGAAGTCCCAGATCACTTGAGGTCAGGAGTTCGAGACCAGCCTGGCCAACATGGTGAAATCCTGCCTCTACTAAAAATACAAAAATTAGCCTGGTGTGGTGGCAGGCACCTGTAATTCCAGCTACTTGGCAGGCTGAGGCAGGAGAATCGCTTGAACCACAGAGGCGGAGGCTGCAGTGAGCCGAGATCATGCCACTGCACTTCAGCCTGGGCAACAGAATGAGACTTCATCTCAAAACAAAAAAAAAGGAGGAAAACTCTATCTGAAAGAAAAAAAGAAAATGCATTTAATACATAATAGCTTGGCCTAGCCTACTTCAAATGTGCTCAGAACACATATATTAGCCTACTGTTGAGTAAAATCATCTTGCAGAAAGCCTATTTTAAAACAAAATGGTGAATATCTCATATAAGTACTGAATACTATACTGAAAGTGAAAAACGGAATGGCTGTATGAGTAATGGAAGTATGGCTTCTACTAATGAATATCACTTTCACACTACTGTAAAGTTGAAAACTCATAAGTTGAACCATCATAAGTTGGGGACTGTCTGTATTACAAGACACACACATAAATATATACATATGCATAGAAAAGGGTTTCACAATAGTTATCTCTGGGAAATCTGAAGAATTTCCTTTCAGAGACAGGAGATAGTAGGGAGAGTTTAAGAATATTATCTTCTGTATACTTTTTTTCAATGAACAAATTATTTTAAAATAATTTCTACTGCCCTTCCTGTTAAGGCCTATTAATAATCAACTGTATCAAAAGTTGAAAACATGAATTAAATTTTTTTAAAAACTGTAGATCACCAAGACACAGTATCTACTATATTTGAATGTTTGTCCCTTCCAAAATGCATGATGAAATTTAATTGCCATTGTAACATTATTAAGAGGTAGAATATTTAAGAGGTGACAGGACATGAGGGCTCTGCCCTCATTAGAACTAGTGCTGTTATGAAAGGGTAGATTTAGCCCCCCCCCCGCTCTCTCTTTGCTTCTGCCATGTGATGACACAGCAAGAATACCCTTGCCAGATGACAGTGCCTTCATCTTAGAGAAATAAATTTCTGTTCTCTGTAAATTATCTGATACAGCAGCCTAAAACTAAGTCAGTCTCCAAAGCAAAAGCAAGCTTAACTTCATAGCCATGGTTGATCAGATATTTTCTCTAAAAATATCTAATCTCAAAGGGTTATGACATTCAATGTCATTTACTTTCGTTTTTAAAAAAGTTAGGCCATGCGCAGTAGCTCATGCCTGTAATACCAGTACTTTGGGAGGCCAAGACAGAGGGATTGCTTGAGGCCAGGAGTTCAAGAGCAGCCTGGGCAATACTGCAAGACTGTGACTCTACAAAAATTTTTTAAAAATTAGCTGAGCATAGGCCAGGCGCGGTGGCTCATGACTGTAATCCTAGCACTTTGGAAGGCCCAGGGTGGGTGGATCACCTGAGGTCAGGAGTTCAAGACCAGCCTGGCCATCATGGTGAAACCCCATCTAAAAAAAAAAAAAAAAAAAAAAAAAAAAAAAAATTAGCTGAGCATAGTGGCACACACCTGTAGTCCTAGCTACTCAGGAGGCTGAGGTGGGAGGATCACTTGATCCCAGGGATTTAAGGCTGCAGTAAGCTATGAGTGCATCACTGCACTCCAGCCTGCACAAAAGACCAAGACTCTATCTCAAAAGTAAATGGTAAACAAAATTAAACTTAAAAGATTAGGATTTTAAAATTGAGAAAATAAATCTATTTTATAAGAATAATCATTTTTTAAAATCTGACACATAATAACATATCTAAAAATGTGGCTGGGCGTGGTGGCTCATGCCTGTAATTCTAGCAGTTTGGGAGGCTGAGGCGGGCAGATCACCTGAGATTAGGAGTTCAAGACCAGCCTGACCAACATGGTAAAACCCCGTCTCTACTAAAAATACAAAATTAGCCAGGTGTGGTGGCGCATGCCTACAATCCCAGCTACTTGAGAGGCTGGGGCAGGAGAATCGCTTGAACCCAAGAGGCGGAGGTTGCAGTGAGCTGAGATCGTGCATTACACTCCAGCCTAGACAAGTGCAAAACTCCATCATCTCAAAAAAAAAAACAAAAAAAACTTTCTGGCTGGGTGTGGTGGCTCATACCTGCAATCTCAGTACTCTGGGAGGGAAAGGTGGGCAGATTACTTGAAGTCAGGAGTTTAAGATCAGTCTGGCCAACATAATGAAATCTCATCTCTACCAAAAATTACAAAATTTAGCCTAGTGCATGGTGGCACATGCCTGTAATCCCAGCTACTACGGAGGCTGAGGTGAAATAGCTGCCTGAACCTGAGCAGTGAAGGATTCAGTGAGCCAAGATTGTGACACTGCATTGCAGCCTGGGCGACAAAGTGAGACGCTGTCTCAAAGAAAAAGTCCTCATATTAAATAGGATAACAGTGAGTTACTCATGTTATCACCTGTAACATGATAATCACAAGAAGATATATATTTTAATCTTCTAGGATTATGTATAATAAGTAAAAAAAAAAAATGACTATTAAGAATAAAGATATTTTGCAGTTATCAATACTACTTTTTAAAAAATATACGCACCATGCTCCAGAAGAAGAAATTCTAGCCTGGCTTTGAACAGAAAAGAGTTAATTTAGCAGGCTTCACTGCTATCCGTTGAAAATCCTTCTTATAAGGTTGGCCCTTGGGCCATGTCTCAGAATTGGGTTCTGGGAAGGGTTCCTACCACCCTGATTATTAGTGGCTTACTGTGCCTTAGTTGTACAACATGGTTTATGCCAAACTGCTTTCCTTCTGGAAGTCTGAAAGTGTGTGACATGTTTCAGGCAGAGGAAGCTGAATCCTGAGTCTTCTTGGTGAATAATTAAACCCTGGGAGACGGTGGTGGGGACCACCAACATAGGCTCTCACAATCCTAGGTTTCAGTTCTGCCTCTGCCACTACTCACATTGTGAGTCCTTAGGAAAAACTGTCTTACAACCTCTGGGGCTATTTCTTGGTGATTAAAAGCAATAGAAAAGGGGTTAAAATGTAAACTAAATAACATATAAGGTTCCCTGTAGTTCCAAGCATCTTCTTTATGTGATTATAGCTAAACATTGTCCTCCTAGACCAGAGTTCAAATAGTTAAGAAAACATAAGCCTAAAAATAAAAATATACATATACATACACACACACACACACACACACACACACACATATATATACACAATTTTCTACCTGTTACAAGTCAACATTAGCTTTCAGAAATAAGTTATGCTTAATCAATAGTCTAGTCACAACCCCAAAAGATTAGAGTTCCATTTTTTTAATACTAGAATTTGTTTTACAGAGGAAAATGATAATAAATAACCGAACATGAAATACGACACTCCAAATTCTGATGTTCATTGACTGGCTACAACTATCCTCTATACTAGAAAGATGTCAAATAACCCAATCATACCTGTTAAAAAATTTAAAAGAAAGCTATTGTTTTGGACCAGATAACTAGTGGATTGAAAAAAGATATATTCCCTCCAACTGGATGCTTTGACGATCTTAACTACCTGAGCTACACATGAACTCTCAAATACTGAGGAATAATATTACAAGTTTATTACTACTAAGTAAACTAGCACACTTTCTTTAAAATCAATACCTTTTACATTTTTCCGTGGTTTAGTGGATTTCTTCTCCTTTAAACTGTTATTTTTAACAGATTTTTGTTTTCTTTTCTCTTCTTCAGCAAGAACTTTCTGAAGCAAATGAGCAAAAAAATCGAAGTCAAAAGGGCGCTTTTCCTCTGTTTAAAAAAAAAAGAAAAGAACTTTCAAGTTTTTATTTAAAAAACTGTTTCTAGCTTTTAAAGTATCATTAACAGAAAAAGCAAATGGGTTTGTCTATCACTAGGAGAACAGATAAACAAGTACACAAAACACTACTCAGCAATAAAATAGGTGTGTCTTAGCAGGGAAATAGATAATTACACATCAGAACACCACTCAGCAACGAAAGGAATAAATTAGTTTAAAACTAAAGGAACTACTGATACATGCAATCATATGAGTGACTCTCAAAAACATACGGAGTGGAAGTAAACAGATACAAGGGTACACACTGTATGATACCATGTATAAGATATTCTAGAATACACTAAGCTGTCTATGGTAATTAAAATGAAAATAGTGGTTGCCTTGGGCCAGGAGGACAACATTTGATTGCCTAGAAAGGAACATAGGCCTTGTGAAGTGATGAAAACATTCCCTCTATTGCTTAGAGTAGTGGTTACACAAGCATATATTCTTTGTCAAAACTCGTTACACTTTGAGCTGTGTATAAGTATAAATTAATTTTTTTATGGACTGAGAAGTCCTCAAATGCCTATTCACCACCATTTGCCCTACCTTTATCACAACCATTTCACCACTTGCTCTTATAAGTATCCGCGAAGTGGGAAGTAAATGAATTTAATCAGGAACACATCCACTAAATACCTATCAACAGCATTGTATCTGAAAGTAATCAGTGAACACTCCAAGAATGAATCCAGGCCAGGACGCAAATCCTTGCTTGAACTTTACAGCTATTCTTATAGTGAATGTAGAGAAAATGGTGCTCTATACATATAAGCTGAAGACTGGTTTGATTGCAAGACAGCCTCAGAAAAGAAGGTATATATTAAAACAAAAAGAATCTCAGGAAACTAAACCCAAATCTGGGATTCCTGAAGGCCTTATTTCAATGCTGACCCAGACTTATTTGTTCTGACTCTCCACAATGATTCTGAAAGACATTAGTACTCAAAGAATCATAAAGGATCTCCATGTGGTTCACAGAGAAACTCAAAACGTAAAGCTAAATTCCCTCAAAAAACCTAAATGGGTCTTAATTTTTTTTATAAAATTTCCAATACAAAGCCCCAAAATCAATGAGTTGTTTTCAGCTTTGAGATAGGGTTTTGCTGTGTTGCTCAGGCTGGCCTCGAACTCTTGGGCAGAAAGGATCCTCCTGCCTCAGTAACTCCTGAGAGTAGCTGGGACTACAGGCATACAACACTGTACCCTGTTTAAGGTCAATACATTTTTTTTTCTTTTTTCTTTTTTAAAGATGGGGTTTCACCATGTTGGTCAGGCTGGTCTTGAACTCCCAACCTCAGGTGGTCCGCCCGCCTTGGCCTCCAAAGTGCTTGGATTACAGGCGTGAGCCACTATGCCCAGCCTAAGATCAATACACTTTAAAGATATCTATTATAATGGTCTATTAAAAAGGCTCCAAACTCCAAGTAGACTGTTTATAGATTCATGAATTATTTTCTGACTACAATGTGTTAAACTTAATGAAAAGTGCCAGGATCACTTCTCTAACATGGAATGGGCTGAGGATCACAATATTACAGATCTTCTAAGAGCCATTCCTAAGAGCAGTTTCCCTAAAGACCCAATAAAACACTGGATATAGGATCCACCTTAACTTAGTGTCTACTCATAAAATAAATGTACATGCTACATAATGTAGGTACTCTTTACATTTGGATTGTTTTTTCTAAAATTAGCACTATGGCTAACCTTATGACTAAATGGACATTGAATACATTTTTTTTTTTTTTTTTGACGGAGTTTCGCTCTTGTTACCCAGGCTGGAGTGCAATGGCGCGATCTCGGCTCATCGCAACCTCCGCCTCCTGGGTTCAGGCAATTCTCCTGCCTCAGCCTCCTGAGTAGCTGGGATTACAGGCACGTGCCACCATGCCCAGCTAATTTTTTGTATTTTTAGTAGAGACGGGGTTTCACCATGTTGACCAGGATGGTCTCGATCTCTTGACCTCGTGATCCACCCGCCTCGGCCTCCCAAAGTGCTGGGATTACAGGCTTGAGCCACCGCGCCCGGCCCTGAATACATTTTTTAATCATAAAATACTGATAATTATAAATCCACAAAAAATATATTCCTGTCCATAAGTGTGGTGATAAAAAAAGACATATCTTCCAATCTAAAAATACAAGAGCTGTTTTAAACAGTAAATTTATTTTCCTTTATAGATCCTTTGATGTCTTTCTCCAGACTTAAAGAAAAGTATGTTAATTTTAATCAGGATTTTAGTTAAAAATGAAAGGTATCTATCATTCCTTCAGATGAGATCTAAATTCAAATGCTAGCATACATCTTCAGACAGAACTTCCCTAATGATCCAATGATCAGTAGGAAAAAAGAGACCTAAACATTCACCCTCTATCTTTTTTCTTCTTGGAAATGAATCACTACCTAAAATTATGCTTATCTACTATATTTCTTCGCCCTCCAATTAGACTTAAGGCTCTAATTCAGGATTCTCATCTGTCATATATTCTTCCACCATTACATACTCAATACCTGGAACAATGACTAGCATATGGCAGGTGGTCAGTGTTATTGACTGAATGAGTGATTAGTCATTCAGAACCAGAAAGAGCCATCTGTATACTGATACTACTGTCTTCCAGAAACAATGATCTCCTCCAATACAGTTTCTTCAGAATAAACAACACTTAGAAGTGGTAGCATCAATCCCTCTATAACTTCTTGGACTTAGAACTATTTACCTGCACTTAGATGCTCCGGATAATCTCCTGCCTATATATTTGTAGCAACTTCCAGAACCATACTGTAAACAGAAAAAGTTCAGACTGCTTCCTCTTATGCCTCTACAGGGACAAAAGAAATCTAAAACACGCTATAGCCAAGATAAAAGACTGGTCATTTTTCAAGCTCTCCAAGTAATACTGTGTAAAAGAGGTCTTAATACTTACGGAATGCTTTGTCTATTCTCCATCCATTGGTTTTCTCTTCACGTTTAAATTTATTCTGTTAATACAACAAAAAACCCTATGGTAATTTTCTCCCATAAAACAAGCTTTTTTTAAAAAAATACAGCAAGCATTAAAATGAAACTCTTAGGAATAACATACCGTTCTCTACTCAATGCATCTTTGCCAATAGGCTAAAACTTAAACCTTTAGCTTTTTAAAAATAAGGATGAAAGATTTCTACTGAGCTTCCTGATTCTCATTACCAATAGCATGAATCAGCAATGGAAGCTGGATTTACAGAGGACAGAAAAAAATAAAGTCAACAAATATGGAAGCAAATCAAATCTATGATTAAGCTAACTGGTATTAAATTCTAAAAAATTAAGTATTCATATCAGGTTGAACCTCTGACATTATTCAAGTTCTAACATATTTCAAGTGGCACAGAGAGAAGACTATAGAGAAACAACTAAGTGAGATTTTGAAGTGGGCCAAGTTTATCTTGACAATCTTCTATATATTAAGGCACATTTACTCATTTTCTCAGCCCCAAAAATTCCAGTCCTTGACCAAGTACACTAGCTCACATCCATAATCCCAGCACCTTGGGAGGTCGAGGCGGGCAGATCACCCGAGGAGGTCAGGAGTTCAAGACCAGCCTGATCAATATGGTAAAACCCCGTCTCTACTAAAAATATAAAAATTAGCCAGGCACGGTGGCTGGTAACTGTAGTCCCAGCTACTCAGTCCCAAGCTGAGTCAGGGGAATTGCTTGAACCCGGGAGGCAGAGGTTGCAGTGAGCTGAGATCATGCCACTCCACTCCAGCCTAGGCAACTAAGTAATTAGACTCTGTCTCAAAAAACAAATAAACAAACAAACAAACAACACCCTGTCCTCAGTTTACGAACAGATTACTTCCATTAAGAGAAAAATGCTTAAGGCTTAAGGTTCAATTCATCCTAAGGTCATTAGGAAGACCAAGACCATGAGTTTGTATCTGAAGATGTCTCATGCACACACATCGTAGGAGATGAAACAATTAGCCAATCTTTCCCATCTATAGGTCAGTGATCTAAAAGTACTATTTTAGATCACTTTTAGATCTAAAGTACTTTTACTAAAAGTACAAAAATAAAGCTTTTTATTGTAAAAAAAGAAGAGAGAGAGAGACAGAGACTATCATATAAAACAAATAAAGTATACTTCATGCCCCCTTCCTCCCTTCAAAAGAACTTAACAAGGCCAGGCGCAGTGGTTCACGCCTGTAGACTCAGACAGGCAGATCACAAGGTTGAGTTTGAGACCAGCCTGGCCAACATGGTGAAACCCCATTTCTACTAAAAATACAAAAATTAGCCAGGCGTGGTGGCACGTGCTTGTAAATGTCCCAGCTACTCAGGAGGCTGAAGCAGGAGAATCACCTGAACCCAGGAGGCAGAGGTTGCAGTGAAATAAGATCACACCACTGCACTCTAGCCTGGTGACAGAGCAAGACTGTGTCTTTTTTTTTTTTTTTTTTTTTTTGAGACGGAGTTTTGCTCTTGTTACCCAGGCTGGAGTGCAATGGCGCGATCTCGGCTCACCGCAACCTCCGCCTCCTGGGTTCAGGCAATTCTCCTGCCTCAGCCTCCTGAGTAGCTGGGACTACAGACACGCGCCACCATGCCCAGCTAATTTTTTGTAGTTTTTAGTAGAGACGGGGTTTCACCGTGTTGACCAGGATGGTCTCGATCTCTTGACCTTGTGATCCACCCACCTCGGCCTCCCAAAGTGCTGGGATTACAGGCTTGAGCCACCGCGCCTGGCCAAGACTGTGTCTTAAAAAAAAAAAAAAAAGAAGAAGAAGAGCTTAACCACTAATATGATCTTTAAAGCAATCACTTTCTTATATTTCCTTATTGCTTATGACCCAAGTGTGTATTCTTAGGTGCTATAGTTTAGCCTTCCCCATATTTTTAAAACCTGGTATGACTTTAACATCTTTTAATATACAGGTTACCCTTCTTTCCCATTCTTTTCTTCATTTTTCTTCATAAAACTTATTACCAATACAGAAGTTTTCAAGGATAATCTTATTTTTGCCTTAAAAGATCATACTATGATTTAAACATTTCCTCAAAGTTAACAAAGTTACCTCCACAAAAAGTGATTGGCTATAAACACTAAATGTCCTAAAAGAAATACCAATAGGCTTCAGGCATTCAATTCTAAAACAGTGCTACTTCATATTTTACTTAATTGGTGATATAATTCAGAACAATTTAAAATTTTCTTGAAGAATGTATTGAAATTAGTCAATGATTTTGTAGGAAGAACCAGTGCAGGCCAAATTCCATGATCACAAAATAAATCCCATAATTCCACTTCAGGCCTTGACAAAGTAACTCATTATGGACATATCCTACGTACCCAACTCCACCACAAATAACTTAACACTGACAAAATATATGCATCAATTATTTTCAAGCAAAGGACAACAGAGCAAGACTACAATCATGAAGAGGAAAAAAAACAGACAAGATGTACCAGTGTTTACCTTGGCTGGCTGCCTGGGCTCAAATTCCTAACCAAGGAAAGGGAGGTGAAGGCCAAGGATGGTACAGCAATCCAACTAAGCTGCAGAAGTAGGGAATCTTTGGGAGCACAGTTCTAAAATGGAACTGTGGAGAGGGGCACCTTACAAGCCTGGTGGAAGTACCCCATGGTTCTCTGGCCTACGTATGGGTTGCATATGTCCAGAATAGAAGGCCTAGAAGAGAACAGCTGCTAAAGGGATGAGAACAGAAGGAAGAGGCTAAAAGTCACAAAACACCATCAGACAATAGAGTTCAGGTGCATCCTAATGAAAAGACCTCATTAATACCCAAATACATTCACCTCAGACGCCAGAAAGGTCACCATTAGAGATAAAGGTAATACCCTAGAGTAGCCTTTCTCTACAGGGCTGTAGCATGAGAATTAAGTACTAATGCATTAAAGCAGCCACTGTATGCAATGCATTACTTTCTCTCATTTATCTATGAATAGAATGGTATTAGTATAACCATTCTTAGAGAACTTAGAAAATAGTAACTCATGCCTACCATGAGACTGTTCTGGAAAAAGAAAGAAGAAAATAATAAAATAAAATACTGACTCAAATTATTTTCTGCAAATCAGATGAGAAATCCCATTGGAGAAAGAATATCCTAGATTAAAGACCAGTCGAGATCTGCCTCAACAAAGCTTTAAGCCAAGCCTCAATAGGAAAAAAGAGGTTGGCAGTAAATTAACTGCTTTCCAGAACAAAAATCAACATTCTTTTTTATTTTGTTTCGTTTATTGAAACAGTCTGGCTGTCTTCCAGACTGGAATGCAATGGTGTGATCATAGCTTACTGCAGCCTTGACCTCCCAGTCTCAAGCAATCCTCTCGCCTTAGCCTCCTGAATAGCTGGGACCACAGGTGTGTGCCACCATGCCTGGCTTCTTTTTTTTTTTTTTTTTTTTTGTAGAGATGGGATCTTGCCATGTTCCTCAGGCTGGTTTCGAAATTTTGGGCTCAAGCAATTGTTCCAGCTCAGACTCCCAAATTACTGGGATTAGAGGTGTGAACCACCACACCTGGCCCAATGCTCTTTAAAGATAAAAAAAAACAAAACATAATCCAGACACTATACAACACATTGTTCTCAATGTCTGGTACGAAAATTCAAAAACTCATGGCTGGCCAGGCATGGTGGTTCACATTTTATAATCCCAGCCCTTTGGGAGGCGCTAAGGTGGATTAGATCACTTGAGGTTGGGAATTAGAGACCAGTCTAGCCAACATGGTGAAACCATGTCTCTACTAAAAATACAAAAATTGGCCAGGCATGGTGGCATGCACCTGTAATCCCAGCTACTTGGGAGGCTGAGGCAGAAGAATCACTTGAACCCAGGAGGCAGAGCTTGCAATGAGCCAAGATCATGCTACTATACTCCAGCCTGGCTGATGGTGCGAGAGTCCAACTAATTAAAAAAAAAAAAAGCCGAGCGCGGTGGCTCAAGCCTGTAATTCCAGCACTTTGGGAGGCCGAGGCGGGTGGATCACGAGGTCAAGAGATTGAGACCATCCTGGTCAACACGGTGAAACTCCATCTCCACTAAAACTACAAAAAATTAGCTGGGCATGGTGGCGCGTGCCTGTAATCCCAGCTACTCAGGAGGCTGAGGCAGGAGAATTGCCTGAACCCAGGAGGCGGAGGTTGCAATGAGCCGAGATCGCGCCATTGCACTTCAGCCTGGGTAACGAGCGAAACTCCGTCCCACCCCCCCCACAAAAAAAAAAAAAAAAAAAAAAAAAAAAGAAAGGCCAGGTGTGGTGGCTCACGTCTGTAATCCCAGCACTTTGGGAGGCCAAGGTGGGTGTATCAGTTGAGGTCAGGAGTTCAAGACTAGCCTGGCCAACAGGATGAAACCCCATCCCTACCAAAATTATAACAATCAGTAGGGCATGGTGATATGCACCTGTAGTCTCAGTTACTCCGGAAGCTGAGGCAGAAGAATTGCTTGAACCTGGGAGGCAGAGGTTGCAGTGAGCCGAGATCAGGCCACTGTATCCAGCCTGGATGGCAGAGAGAGACTCCACCTCAAACAAAAACAAACAAATACACGACAGAGACCAAAAAATTAATTAATTTTTAAAACCCACATGACATGAGAAGATAGAAAAATGTGATACATAGTCAGGAAAAGAAAAAAAAAAGTCAGAAGAAACAGATCTCATTCCCTAGCAAGCAGACTCAGAAAAAAAAAGAAGAAACAGATCCCAATATTATCGAGATACTAGAATGAACAGACAAAAAAGTTAAAGGATCTATCCACTATACAAATATTTGAGGATTCAGAGGAAAGTATAGAGTGAACAGATGGGGAAATCTCAGCCAAGGAATGGAAACTATAAAAAATAACCAGGTGGAAATTACAGAAATAAAAAATATAATTTCAGAAATAAAATATTTACTAAATGGGCTTAACAGGAGATTGAAGATAAAAGACAGGTCCGTGAACTTGATGCTATGAAAATACAAACT